AAATATGAAAGAATTGCTTAAATGCAAATGATAAATAGGTTGGCTTCCAGACCGTCTGTATAGCTGGCCCTCTCAGCTAATCAGGCACTTAGGCAGTTGATATGGATTATAATAAAAGATGGAGTCAATCAGCTTTTTTAATTATTATTCAGTTTGGTTCTGACTGGACAGTTTTATTCCTTTTCAAGGGTGCAGATGAGCTGCGAAACCATCTGAGTGTAGAGAGCTGGTAGTAGAGGAACGTGCAGCATTTTGGGATCGTGATTCCAGGAGGTGCCTTAAAAGCCATGGAAACAGCCATGCTCTGGTTTGCTTAATGTGAGAGCTGCTTTATGATGAGATTTACGGTGCTTGGTGCCATAATGATCATTTTACTTCAGAACTTTGCATCCTTGATGCTGATGAGAATTTAAATTTGGAAACGTGCAGAACTTAGTTACTGACTTGGGGTTTTGTTGGACACTATCCATCTGCTTTTTAGCTGGCAGTAGTAAACTTGATCTTTGTAATTGTTTTAAACTGTGGTGCAATTTGGGCAGCCAGGACATTATAGACAGATAATGCATTAGGAATGACTAGAAAACTTCCAAAATGTGTCTCCTAAGAAAAATGTAATCATGGAAAATTAAAATACATGAGCTAGTATTTTCTTCCATGGAAGCGAAGCCTGATACTTTGATAGTTCACATGCACGTAATAATACCTCCTTTATAGCTATTTCAGGACCTTGAAAATTTCCACTATCTGGAAAAAGGAGGTTTTGTAATCAGAGCATATAGAAATTTATGCTACTGCATCACTGGAAATTAGATTACTCTTTAACATAACGTATTTTAGGATTAATAATTTCAGAAGATTTAAAGCATCCATTCAAGAAAGCTGCTTGGGACAATAACCATCTCTATTGGGTTATCGCAGAAAATCAGCATTGCATTCAAATATTACTGTCTTGCAGTATCATCCTGGAGTGTATTATTCAGCTGCTGAAGTGATACTGCAAAATGAGTGTCTTTTTGTCACAAAATGCACATAAAACTAAACATCAGAAAGGATAAATTATATGCTATACTAGTAGGAAAAGAAAAGACTAAAATCCAAGAGCGAAACAGTTTTGTGAGGTCCACAAAAGTTGAGAAAGGGAAAAGAGCATCGTAAGGAAACCAGTTGTAATAAATTACCACTCCTGTGGGAACTGTTTTGTACTCTGAAAAGCAATTCTGTGATTTCTTCTCACCAGAATGATTAATGGACTGATTTCTGCAAGAGGTAGCATGTTTAAGCAAAAGATAAGTACAAAAAAAGGAAAGCTTGGTGGTTTTGCAGCTGCCCATTGTGAAATTGGGTTCTCTAAGAAAGAGACAAAAATGAGGATACTTGCATAAGGAGTTGGACCAATGAAATACAGCAGTCTAATTTTGATCCAACAGGGGAAACTGGGACCACATCACAAGGCTGTATCATCCCCATGCTGACTTATGCTCTTTCCTCCAAAGTCACTTTAGGTGCTTAACTACGCAATTAAAGCCTAGCCACGACAGGCTGGCCCTCTAAGCAGAGGTTTCACCAACTGGATTCAGTCTCCTGCTCTGAATTACCTTTAAGTTTTTGTCTTGCTCCACAGACTCCATGAAACCAAGGTGCGTTTATCCCTCATGGTGGCTTCAAGTAGCACATTGACTTTGAAGAGCATTCCAGTTCTGTTTCCTACATGCTGTCGGTCAGTACCGTTTCCCATTTGCCTTTGGACACATCCCTGGTTGTTACCAGCTGCCTCGTGCTTTTGTGGTAACTGCCTGTACGATTGTGTCTCTTGCGATAGAGCTCTAATTTAGTATAAAACATCCAGTTTGGCAGCTGGCAATAATTTATTCTATGAAATATCTGGATGTATTTTTTGCCAGTAAAAAATTCCGCAAGCCAAATCATTTGGCTGATGGAGTGGCACTGCTGAAATGTTCAATGTGAGAGGAAAGCCAGGCATGTGTCCAGGGTTTCTAGGTGAATCGGCCCAATTCCCAGGAGCTGTGCCATGTGCAGTGCACACAGATGGCTTTCAGCACTCCCAACCTCCTGCAGGAAGTGTCAGCGATGGCCTTTGGTTTTGGTTTACACAAACCCTATTACCAGGCAAGAGCAAGTTGTAAATCAGTTCTTGACAAGTCTGAAATAAATGAATCTCTTTCCTGTTTAAGAAGGTGGCCTTCTTGAGCATATAAACGTCTACCGGGTTCGCTGTTCTGGATCAGTGTCTGATTAGCTTATGCTTGGTTTCCTTATGGAGATGAGTCAGAGACTGAAGAGTTTCAGTCTAGAGAGGAGCAGAGTACTCATTTTAAGTACATGTAGCTGTGCTTTCTTGATTTCTCCTGAGAGGGAGATAGTAGGGACTGACCGTTTCAGCTGATACCATTGATATCTCACACAGTAGTCTTTGAGATGGAGAGCACCAGAACAAAATTACAAGCCCTTACTGCAGCAAGCCAACCAGATAATGCCTCGACATTCCTGAGTTGTTGGGGGTAGATGGACTCTGCTTCTGCAGCCAGCACTGTTCCTGTGCTGTCTGTGTAAAGCATTCTCCTGGTTCCCTCAAATGTGCACATTAAAGTTCCTTTGTTCATTTTTTTTTGCATTAGCTTGTGGTGTCCTCAGTGCTGCGTTTCCTGATGTAGTTTCTCTTTTTATGTTTCTTGCTTACTGTTACTTATGTTACTTGCCTACTTTTTAGCTGGAGTTTTCGCTTTGTAAATTGTTCTGTTCGTGCAGTGCAATATACACCGCTCTGTCAGCAGTTATTTACAATCTGAAGGTAAGTTCCAAATCTTCAAAGCTGCCCATCATGTGGTTTGATTTTCAAAACTGGAGAAGTGCTGTCTGTGTGAAACGTGTTGCTTGCAATTGGACATCTGGCCTGGGCATATGGCTGCCTCCTGCTGTGACCTTACAAAGTCCAGTAGGTGAGCAGAGCCTTCTGTAGAGTCATGGTAAGCGTGAATATGCATTTTCTTTTGTGCATTTCTCCTGTGTTTTTTTCCCTTCAGAACAAAACCTGGCTGCAATACTAGCACATTAAGGCAGGAGAGGGAGCTTTTACCTTGGGATGGCACATCTCTAGCTGTGATTAATTCCTTTGGCTTTGTGAGCGTGTGGTATCGTTGCATTATAAAGCATGTTTATGGAGATAATCCACTTATCAGCCCAAGCACACGTTCTCTCTTCACTAGACGACAAATTAGTTCTTCCCTTACTGAGAGAGATCATAAGGGCTACCATAACCTAGAGGAACAGGGGACGGCATGGCACGAAGCTGATAACATCAGAAACAAAAGTAGAAGCAGGAGACAAAAAATAAATGCATTGAAAAATGGCTACAAAATACAAGTGATCTACTGCAGCAACTCATTCATCAAGGGGATTTGGCCTTGCCCCACTCTAATCTAAATTGAATCTAATTTAGATTCCAAGCAAGGGATGGGAATCCTTTCCTGAACCAAAACAAGCCTTGCCACCTCCTACCTCTTCATTACTCATTCCTTAATTTGTTTGGGTTTGTTATGTAGGACGCTCAGGAAGAATAGCTTAAAGCTGTGTGTGCCTGTGCTGAATCTGATGGTGTGATCACCGCTTTGCTGTACGTTGGGTTGACTTTTTGAGGCAGTAAGAGCACCCAGAGCTGGCAGCGTGCCTCTGCCTGGGGCCCCCAGGAACCTAGGCGTGAACATCCTCCTCTTCTTCCCTGAGCGCTCGCTTACTTGCACTGCTACTTGACCTAGTCTGGGGGAGTCCATTACAGCCTCGGGCTCGAGCAGTTGTTCTGTTTTTTCACTCTAAAACTCCTCTCTGCTGGTGCCCAGATGCATCAAGCCCGCCCCCGAGGAAGGGACTGGCAGGTAGTTTTCTTCATTTTTGAGATATTCGTGCTGACCTACTTTCTGTTCTTGCATTATACATCGATAAACAGCAAAGCTCAGCCTCCTGGTTTGTGTATGTCTGAAAAGCCCAAATGGCGTAACTCCTTCTCTGAGGCTTGTCAGGGCTCCCAGCACCTGAGCTGAGTTCAGACTGCTCCAGGCTGTGGTCAGTTTTATTTTTTTCCAAGTCTTTATTCAGTGCTCTGTTGCTGATTCCCTCTTAAACTGCATGCCCTATTTTTTCTGAGGCTATATCCTGCGGAGTGCGAGGTTGGGAGATTTGGGCATTGATTCCAGGAGGGATTTCTGTAACACGGGGCACGTCAGGACGCTGCCTTGGAGCATGTCCCAAACCTTCACGCTGTCTTGCAATTTTCTAGCTCCTTGCCCGATTCTTTGACCTGTGCCACTCAGCGTCTGTGCTTCCCTTGCTCCCAGAAGCCCAGCCCAGTTCTGAGGCATTTATTACCCTACAAATACTCTGCCACCATACCGAAATCTCCTGTGAACCTGTGGATATTTGCTGTGTAGTCTGGTCGCTGTCAGAGTGCCAGCAATTTTGTGGTGTCTACATATTTAGTTCCCACAGACTGAATTTGTCTCCTGCCGCTCCCAAAGAACGTGCCTCAGTCTGCCCCAAATGGTGGCTTGAGCAGGTTGTTGGGCCCCGAAGGCTCAGGATGTGGAAAGTTTAGGGCATGCAAAAAACCTGCCTGCAAGTAGTGGGAGGGAGCACTGCTTTGAGGAAGGGAAAAACCGAGTGGCAAAGCAGGGATGGTAAGAGTGGCTTGGAAGAACTTTGGAGGCAAAAAGAATTAAATGATGGGGTCAGGGGGTATCAGGATGCCACTGAGAATTTGCTGGAAGAAAAAGGAAATTACTACCCTGCAGAATTGAGGGTATATAAAGAGCTAAACAATGAGCCAGAGCACATGTAGGTTATACACTTGAAGTCCTAACTGTTAGTTTTCTGCTGTCTTTATCTCCGTGCTTATCAGGACTGTGAGACCTTCCTGCAGCCTGCCAGCCTCCTGATGGAAAGTGTTAAAAGCCACGTGAGAGAGGTGGGTGCAGCAGGCTGGTAATGGGAGTCAGGATTGTGGGCCTGCTGCTTCCTTCCTGCTTCCGAGAACTGCGCCAAAAAAAAAAAAAAAAAAAGAAAGAAAGAACCTCTATCACATGTGAACTGTGCTCTAGACTGCTTCAGGCAAGGGCTGGGAAGTTTTTGTTCTGGTTGCAGAAGGAAATTCCAGTCGAAACCAAGACTGGGTTGGCCTCATTAGAGCAGGACACAGGTGGCAAAACATCTCCTTTCCTGAGATTCCTTGAGTGAGTATTGGGGTCTGCTATTTAATGCATCCAGCCAGTTTTCATGATCCAGTAATTGTGCTCTCTTCTCCAACAACCTGCTTTAGTGATGTTCTGTTCTCTCTTCTTGTTTTCCTCTCTGACATCCTCACCCTGCTGCTGCTCAGCGCATCAGCACTGATGAGAGTATAATTTTATTACATTTTGAGCTGAAAGGAATTTGGAGTTTGGTGTGCAGGAATGTAGAGACACCCCATTAAATAGTAATTGGTGGAATGGACTGATGTTTTTCAAATTGTGAATTTTTATTTTTGGGGCGTGTATAAGAATCATATTTTTAAAATTAATTTTACAATTAAAAAATATATATTTCAAAACAGCTGAAAAGAACAAGCAACTGACACACTCATGCTGATCAGCTGTTCTGGCTGCTCCAGTAAAGGGCAGGTCGAACTTCCCATTGCTAAGCCTGAGTTCTGTTCCAGTAGACTGGGCCAGAGAGGGTTGCTGTCTGGGAGCTGTTTGTGTGGGTTCTGTGCAATACACTGTGGGTTTTCATATTTTCTGTGATAGTGCTTCCACGTGAATAGGAAATGCTGCTGCTGTTAGCGTGAGTGCATCCCTTTGGGTGACAATGTCATTATCAAAACTAGAACGAGTCTCAGAGATAGCACCTTCTCACAGCAGGGTATTTGTGTTGTATTTTCCAGGTGTAGCCAGAAGATTTCAACCTTCCAAGACAGCATTTTGGCTTTGAGGATAAAATAACACGCAGGAAAATCTGTACGCTGCTGGAAGCATTCCTAACTGCATTAGATCTTCCTTATCAATCTAAGCCTGCCTTTGGAATTGTGCCATGGGTTCCCAGGCTCGTGTTCAGGTTTGCTCAGTTTCATGCTTGTTTTGTGTAATTCATGGTGTGTCTATCAGGCTGGCTGATGAGTGTTCTCACTGGAAAACAGAAAATTAGTAGAACATAGAATCCTGTTTATAGAGGACTGTAGCTATTTGCAAAAGTAATGACATGCAAATCATTAATGCAAATGCCTTAATGCCCCAGGGAAGAAAAGTATGGGAACAAGAGGGACAAATGAAACATTTCGTTCTGAGATAACACCAAGAGGAAGGTTGGTTTTGTTATTGGATTATTGCAGTCAGTCAAGGACTCTGAAGTTTAAATGATAAGATTTGGTTCAGTCCTGATTTATTGGCCTGACTGTTCCTTTTGCTCCTCCATTCTGCAGTAAGCAGTCGTCTCTTGCCTTGTACTGGAGCTACAGCACCTGACTTTGCATCTGTTGTTTGTACAACAGCTACAACAATGGAGCCCTCTTTCCCCAGAGAAGAATAAAGAAACTTTTCTGGTTTGTGCAGGATTTAGAAGGTGTCAGTATCTTAAAGTAACTGAAAGGGCTGTAGTTGGAATGATGCTTCCTAAAGGATTGGAACGAGGTCCTGTGAGGTTACCATTCTCCTTACCATACTTCACATGCACAGCTGGACACAGGTAATGGGGTCTGCTGATGTTGTTGACCTTTTCTGTCAAAAGAGAAGATTTTTGTCCACTGTCCTACTGTGTGCCTGCCTTGTGTGGTGTTTCAGTTCTTCCCATATAGCAGAATTGTACAGGAAGAGGACCTTGTGCTGCACTGCTGCAGCAGCTTGTGAAATTATTTAGGGTAAGAGGATGCTGCTATCATCAGCAGCAAAAGCTTTTGATACTTTGAAGTCCTGAAGTGCTTCCTGCTTGCACGTTGGCACCCATATGTTCCAACAGCATAACACAATGTGGGGAAAAGAAGGGACTGCAAAGCTCTGCCTAGAAAGGGAAATCAGGTGAGGAGCTTTTGCTGAGCAAGCTGCATAAGGGCAGGAGAAAGACTGATATTGCCAAATGAGCCCATGTGTGATCATGGGCCAGCCATGAAGGTATGGGGGTCAGTGGTGGGGTGAGGCTGCGTCACCTGGTCATTAAAGCAGGAAACAGGAAGCTAAGGGCCCTCACCTTAAGGCCAGATTTAATCTGTGGCCTTGAGCAAATCTGTTCACCTCGATCTACCTCTGCCTCCACTCTGCCTCCTGGGTGGGAGGACCTGGTACCATGTGGGCTCAGGTGTTAAAGGGCTGCATCAGTTTATGGATGGATACGTACCCAGTACCTACTGAAAGCAGAAGGAGGTGACACCGGAGGAATATTCAAAACCTGAATGCATTTTGCATATGCTTGTGTGCAGAATTGACCCTATGTGTCTGTCTGATCCTTCAAATTCTGCTTTTATGTCCCCTACAGTAATTGAGAGGAAAAATACCCTGCTTAATGTTCTGCTAAAGATTAGGAGCAATTCTGGTATTTTGAATCAACTCAAATACGCTGCTGTGTTTGAGATACTTGTTAATACTTTGCTGTGATTTTTGTTTAATTATTTTAGGTTTTGGTTCCTCTAAAAATGCAGCTTTATTTCTTGCTTTCAGAGAATGAATGAGGCTACTGTGACATATATGAGAAAACACATTTCCTCATAAATTGAAATAAGCTTCCTGCTTTTCTGAGGTTGTGCGAAATTCTTATTTCTGCTTCAGAAGCAGCTTTATGCTTGTGCCTTCTGTATGTTGTGTTGCTGGGTGTCATTTCTTAGAGAATCAACTAGTCTGATACTAGTTGTGTGCTGTGTGCTGTTGCTCTGAGATGCTGGGAAAGAGGTGGTAACGTCTGTGGTTGGTGAGAAAAAGACTATTTATAGAACAAACAGCTCCTGTGTTAGGAGATGTCATTCCTCGTGTGGCGTACATCAGGATGTGTGTAGGAGGAGGAAGGAGCGATGTCGAAGCGCTGGGAGTTGCTCTGCAGAGAGCAGCCCAAGCCCCACCGAGCACCTTTCTCCCCAGCTCCCCGCGTGGGGAGAACAGTTACACGCAGGAGCTGAGAACATAATCCAGGCAAATGGAGTACGGTTGCGTGCAGCCAACTGGGAACATCTGTCGGGGTTGTGCTGCTTAGTGCACGGCTTGGTTTTTAATGTAATGAAATTGCTGGCATAAAACTTGTTTTATCAAAAAAACAAACAAACAAAAAAAGCCACAACTCTCTCCTGAGATGGCTTTGTTTGAAGTCTTCTGACAAAAAGTGGACATCCCATCATCTTCCTTTGCTTGCCACGCATGAGGGTTGAGAGACCTCTGCTTCCCTCAGCCTCCCAGCTATTGTTCTGCTGATCCTATACAGAAAAGCCTCTAGAAAGGCTTGAGGATATAAAATGTCTTGGTTTTAGAATGAAAACTGTACTTCCCAAACTGTTTTTAATCAAGGACTGTTTACCCTGGAAGCACTAACTAGCTGTTGTAGAGGTACCTGTGAGCATCCTGGGTACATGAATGATCAGAATTTAGTAACTCGTGTACTGTTAGGGGCTGAAGGCCATGTGTCGTGCCATTGGAATGGAAATGATCACGCCACTCCTTACTGGGTCACATATGTAGCCTTTCACCTCATTCTTACTGGGATTTTATGACTATATTGATAGCTTCTGACATCTTCGCTTTTATGTAGAGGGATATATTTGTCTCTTTAAATGAAATATATGTGTATAGTGTTCACTCTCTGATGCAATCAGCACGGCTCCTTATCCACAATCTGCTGTTATCATCGGCTGATTGTATCTGGGCAAGAATGCTCTGAAGCTGAATCTATACTAATATGAAAGAAAAAGACAAAGGACATTACAGTACAAGTAATTTCCTGTTTTGATCATTCAACTGTATAAAATAACAAGGAAAATGTTACGGAAGTTGCAGACAAAATTTAATTCTCATCAGACCAGCAAGCTTATCTCTCAATTACAAGTAACAGCAAATACCTTTTTATTTTAATAGGAAGTGTTACTGATAATAATGGCCTGCTGGAAGCACCGTGCTGAAATCCTGTATTTCTGAATGTGTGAGTGGTTAGGCAGAGCCCTTCAGCAGTGTCAGTTGTTCTGGAGTTGAGATCCCCATCTCCAGTGCTGGAAGGAAGCCGTTCCTGTTCCCAAAGTGAGTACCATCCAAAGAGCTGGGTTTGGGTTCATTTAGTATTGAGGGTGGGCAGATAATTATGGTACCTTTAGGACCAAGAGCACTCTTGAACTTCTTTCGTCCTGCATGTGGCACTGATTTTTAGTCCTTGCCAAAGCACAGGCTTGAGCTGGTGACCTGGTTTCAGCTTACCTTGAAGTAAGCAACCTCTGTGACCTTCGGGCAATTACATGACTCAGGTTGCTGGCTCTCCTGTCCACGGGATGTAGAACTAGGGGTGCTTTTGTTATGTTCTGTACAAGGGCTGCTCTTGGAATTGCATTATTCACTCTGCCTTCCACCCTGTCTGATTTCACAGTTGTTTGTTTTTTATTATCATCACTTTATTTATTTTAAGAAGTGGCTGATGTGTGGCAGGAGCACATGGATATCTGTATAGTGATATCAGCAGTTAGCGATTCATTCTCCTCAGAGCATCGGGTGCTTTAATTACAGCCAAAGCCAGTGTTTTTATATAGTCTGTAGCTTCTAGTTAAAAGTAGTGACTCACTGTAATCGGTTACTGCATGTGTTACAGTCTATTTGTGTGTAGTGTCCTCTCTGTTCAATGTGATCCACCTGATCTTCGGAGGCACCATGGAGGAAAGAGTAAATGCCCAACAAACAAGTAATGAGAGGGGATAAGGGCTGATGAGGCTTGCAGGTATGGTGTACGAGGCAGCAAGGCACAGACAGAGCAGGATGACAGAAATAAGGGTACCTGTTGGGGAGACAGAGGTGAAATGGGAGGAGCGAGGGAGAGGCAAGGCAAACATGTGGAGTGGGTCAGAATTGGTACTGTGCCCCAAGGTTCAGTCTGCAGAGAGCTTTCTGCATCCCTCTTGCTTTTATCATGTCACAGAAATCTAATTCTGAAGTCCTTATTAAGCATCACGTACGTCTTTTATGGCCAAATGCTTCTAGAACTTGACAGGCACCAAACAGACACCAACCAGAGAGCTGCTCTGCTGCAGGGATTTTATGTTTGCTAAATCAAAACTTCAGATCCTTGGGGTGAAAGTGCAATGTTTGCAGCTGCACACAAAGTATTAAGTATTGCGTTCTACCTGGCAGTTACTGTGTAACCTTAACATAGCTTTGTGCTGCTGGTTTTGTTTGTTTGTTTGTTCTCCTAATAGAATTAATGTATGTCTGAAGAGTCTCACAGTAACCAGGGAAAAGGGGTAAGCGATGGACACACACACACTATTTGGAGGAAAATTAAAGGGAATTTGCAGAGCAATGAAGTAGTTTGGTATGGACCAGTTTGTTGGTAGAATATTAAGAAGAATCCATGCCAGAAATGGCATATTACAGGGTTACGGGATTCCTTTTTTCATACACCTCATGGCTCCTGATGAAAGATTTGTTCTCCACTGACTTTTCATCAGTCCCCAGCTGGGACCCTGAGGAACTCCCGGTCATGAAATCTCAGGACAGAAGCGCCTCCTCGGTGACAGGGACTTTCCAAGATAAATAATGTCAAATGCATGCAGCCAGAATGATGGGAGAGCACAGGAACGGCGACACAGTGTCTCCAACTCTTCAGGTCTGTGTTGCCTGAAAAACCTCCCTGAACAGAGGCGCCTGCCCTTGCCTCCTGCTCCAGAAGGAAGCGGCTCTCCCCTCCCGGCTCTCTGCGGGAATCCAGAGAGGGCAGCGCTATCTGCCGGCCCTGCAGGGCACTGCTGGTGTTTGCCAGGACTTCACAGCCGAGCACTAGGCACGTTTTATCTCCTGCACACATCTACTCACACGCTTTTTCCTTGGTATTTCTCCATGTAACCTCTGCTTTCCTGTACAGAATTTGGCCTCTGGATGAAAACCTATGATTATTCTAAATCTTTTTTTTTTTGTTGTTGTTGGTGGTTGGTTGGTTTTGCTTTTTTATTTATTTTATTTATTTATTTTTAAGTTAATAAAACAACTCCTGAAGCTCAGCAAGCTGTAGCACAATATCTAGCCAGGAGAAGGTGCTTACTTGGATGCTGAAGGATGAGCAATACGTTCCCTTTGAAAAACAGTGGTTTTGAAAGCAAAAGGAATTTCTTACAAATTAAAAGCTCTGTGTAACTTGTGTTATTTTACCCAGCACCTATGAATTTGACCTGGAAGATGTTTCTTACTGTCTGAAGACAAAATATCTTTCAAACTTGTCAAAAGACCTTTCTGATTTGCCATACGGAAGCCGGAAAAAACGTTTCTCTTTTTTTTTTTTTTGTGCATGATGTCTAATGTATTATGTGTACTTGTCCTTTTAGATGAAATATGATGACAGTTGCATTACTAGGAAGGGGAAGTTGGAAACCTATAGATAGAAGGTATATATACACAACATGACCAAAACCAAGAAAGTTTCTTTCACAATGGAGATGTGACTGCACGATAGTAAGTATATCCAACCAAATATCTGCTGTACAAAAAAAAAAAAAAAAAGTCTCTTGGAATCCTTTGTATTCCCTGGACTTCTGTGTAAACAAACCACATCTGAGAGGTAGCCCAGAGGTGTCTTTTAGGGGAATTGAAAATGAACTTAAAGCTGCATTCCCCTCATTTATTAATGGCTGTGACAAGCTTCAGCCTTGCTCACCATTTAAAGAAAACCGCAGCAGCCAGCCCTTTGATTAAGCAAAGGTAAGGTGGTAACACTTGATGAGCAAGACTTATTTATTTTTTTTTTTTTACAGAAATACAGTCATTGCACGGTGCTACAATAATTGATGCTTTGGTGTATTTTACTAGCAGTAAAAGTTTAGAAATTAAATGAGCAAATGTGAATGAATGTGTGTGGCAATCTGACGCTAATGGATTTTCAGCTGCTGCTGAAGTGAATGGGTTGAGGAGGGAGAGGCCTAAAAGCGTATTTGTGAAAGTGCCACCTCATTAGATTCCAGATCGGTAAAACAGCAGTTCGGTTACAGCACACAAAGGCTTGCTTATGTGCATATGCACTACTTGATTTTGTTGGCATTGAGTCTCAGAAAACAATATCTCAAAAGTACCTGGAGCAACACCAGGGCTTAGAATTTCCAGGATGTTCACCGTAACACGCTTCCAAATATGGCTTGCACTAAAGGTCTGAAAAAATGTTTATTTAGTTGCTGACCACGGAGTTAGCAATGTGCAGGAATGTCTCTCAGTGCCAATTTCTCAGACAGAGAGGGCAATTTTCAGCCCAGCCCTCAGAGTGCACCTGCTGCTTAAAGGGATCCAAGTCCCCAGACCCTGCCAGCCCTCTGTGCATGCGCAGGCTTTGGCTTATGCAATGCCGTTGTAGGTTTGAGAAAGCATTTCTCTGACAGGGAGCACCACTCTGGGCTCACAAACAGCTCAGGCAGCCAGCTTGCTAGAGCAGTTGGTTCTTGTTTACAGAGAGAAGGACTCTCTGTATCCTGTCCTCCTCATTCTTTGTCGTGAAAAGAAAATAATTCTCAGAGCCAACAATAAATAGAGGCGTGTTGAACAGCCTGTGTTTTCTCTGGGAGGTAAGGATGGCAAAGGGATTGGGTCTTGTGTGTCTTACTGAAAAGAGAAAGGGAAAGCAGCTGGTGTTAAAGGGCCAGAATATTGCCCATCCAGAGGCCTCGGAAATCAGCAGGTCTCTTCTGCAGGCGCAAACAGACCTACATAAAGCTCTGTGAGTAGTAGTAAATCAAGAACATGCACAGTCCTATATGTTGGAAAGATGTTTTGCAGCATGTACAGGACAGAAAATGGAGTGGTTATTTAGTATGGAGCATAGCTGTCAGGAATTGCAGGGGTGTGTGTGTTGGGAACCCGAATCTGTTACATCCACGGGGAAATAGATCAGAAAAAAGGGCTGGAAAGCAAATGCAGGCAGATGTTTATAACAGAGAGCAGGTCAGGCTGCACAGTTCCTCTGGGTACCTGTGCTGTGAAAGCACTGACAGGGACCTCCCTGGTGTGTGGGGTGAGGGTCCGGGAGGAGCACGCTGCTGGGGCTGGGTGCACCTGAACTGCACTGGGAGCTCTGCATCGCCTGGAAATGCAGGTCAGGAAATAAGGTGTACAAGGAGTGAGTATCACTGTCTGCTGCTTACAGTAACTGGGGCCAGGTGTCAGTACGTACGTGGAGAATACATTTAAAATCTTGTGTGGCATAAAGAGAGAATTAAAGTTGTCCTGTAAAGACAACTAGAGAAGTCTGCCCTTACACTGGATTCCTGTAGAATGTGTTTTAAAGTGCTAGGGTAGGGTGCCTTCATCTAATTCAACATTTTTAAATCAGTCTTATCAGCGTTATCGTGTGTGACTTTGCTGCAAACCATTCCTAGTTTGGTACCAGCTCGAGGCTGCTCTCGGGGAGCAGCAGTGAGCAAGTGTGAAGGGAGATCCCTCGCTTTTTGTGCTCCTTCCCCCAGCACTTGTTGTGCATCGGGAGCTTGCACTGCTGCTCTTGGCTCACTGCACAGAGGCTGGGACGGCTGACTGGGAGCGAGTGATGCCGGGGTGGGTCTGTGTTGGCTCCTGCCAGACAGGAGAGGCTGTGCAAGGAACGAGCTTTGCTGATGTGTAGCTGCACGGCGAAGAGATGTGCACTGACGGGAGCTGATGTGACTGCGGTGGGAGAGGGAGCTGCCGTGATGGCTGTCACACGGAGCCCAGAGATGCAGGTTTTGTGTTCCCACTCCTGTAGCCTGGCTCGGAGACCATAAGAGTGAAGGATTAGTGGGGGCAGGGGTGCTGAATTTATTTTTATCTCCTCGTCTTGTTGTGCCTGTGCAAAAGTGCCAGCCTTTTTTTTCCTTTTTTTTTTTCTTTTTTTTTTTTTTTGCCTGTGAAGCATTAACTGGGTGGGTTGCCATAGCAACTCCTGCACGGTGAGTTGGGCTGCCTCTTGCAGAGAGATTTCTCCCTCACCGTTCAGTCCCCTTCAGCATTTCCCCTGCAGCAGCAAAATGGCTGAGGGCTTTGTGGTGCTGAGGACCCTGCACCCTGTCCCCAACCTGCCCTCTGGAAGCATCAGGGCAGGAAGGAGAAGCTGCGCATCCCTGGCTTGGGTGGGTTGTGGAGGATCCGTGCTCTCCACCCCTTTCACAGCACGGAAAATTCAAAGAGGCTTGCAGTACGACATCCCATGTATTTGCAGGTTTTTCTGAGGAGGTCTGGGCAGTGTTTCTTGTCTGCTCAAGACAGGCACGTGGAGATGTTGGAGCGGTTCCCAGCTAAGCCCAGATCGCAGTAAGAGTGAAAGTATCTTATCCTTTCATTCTCAAAACATGCAGTATGGCTGAAAAAAAAGTCCAAGGAACACGTTCTAGCAGTTTAATAAACTGGACTGACTAAAAGCATTTATTTTGAATTACCTTTGGTTTTGTCTGTAGTATACTAAGCACGCTTTAGGTGAAGGAATAAAGTTCACAGCCAGGTGAGAGAGGGTGTGGTCTCCATGTACGTCTCTAGCCTATGACTTTTTGTGTTACAATCCACCCAAATCCAAACCCAGTTTCACCAGATTTTCATCTCTGGGTACAGTTTGTCTCCTTTAAATAGGAATTAGAGCTCCAGTCTCACCAGGATGGGTAGTGCGCAGTGCTTGAGGTCTGTACACGAGTGATTCTGAGGGACAAACTCATTAAGGATATTCGTTTGTTACTGTAATTTAAATTGGTTGACAGATGAGTTCTGGAGTCCCTGGGGTTAGAGGAGGAAAGGCTTCTGTTTCTTGCTGGTGCCCTGAGGCACCTGAGAGCAGGGCTGTGCTAAGAAAGGAGAAAAAATGATGAAGGGTCAGTTAATGGCTGCTGACCAAATGACAGAGCCGCTGCCTCCTCGTAAGCCTGCAGTTCCAGCCCCTATTGTCCCTGGCAGGATTCTCCATGACAGATGTAACTAGAGCAGCCGTAGCACACGCAGTACAACTCTGCTGATCCGTGCCCTGTGCTTGCTGGCAGTGCACCTGGCTTCCTGAGAACAGATGTGATTTCCACCCCGCTTCATGAAACAGGTGGTTGTCAAATGAGATAGCCACGGACATTGTTCAGTAGTTCCTGTGTCTATAAAAAACCCCTCCATCGGCACTCATCCGCCACGCACAGGCTGGATTGTTCCAGAAAAATTAGGAGCAAATCCCATGGCTTTGTCTGCCCTTCCTTTTGTTGAGCTGTGAACACAGCACGGGGCGACAGGAGAAAACAACCGGTCAGTTGCTGCTGTAATACTTCAGGGCTGCAAAGGTTTCACTGCTCCCAGCCAGCTGTGGTTTGGAACCAGGCAGAGCACAACGTGTCCAGGGGGTAATAACGGAGCAGAGCAAGGAGCTGGAAAGATGTCCTTAGCTAGGAATTCCCTGGACTTGTTGCATGGCTCTTCGTGCACCTGATGTTCTCTTCCTGTGCATTTGTGGTTTGGTGCCTGGGAGATGCGGGTGCCTCTTGGACCCTGGCGTGCCTCGTGTCACTCTGCCAAAGCAGAAATGCAGCATGCAAGGGAGTTGCAGGAGGGGTTAGCGGGTGCTGTGGAGGCAGTTGCCATGAACCTGATGAGATGATGTCTAGGAAAAGCATTCGCTGTCTTTGTTCTGTGCCTGCTTCGCTTATGCAGCACAGGGACCAGATTGCACGCGTGTGCCCTCAGCACCGAGCCCCCAGCACCAGGCAGGTCTGGACCTCAGTAGTGTTGTGCCCTACTGAGAGTAAACGTCCAGCTGACGGGCTCGGAGCTGGGGCTCTCTGCTGCCTGCAGTTTTTTCTGTTCGGGTGAGTCTGACCGTCTGCACGCTGCCCGTGTCCAGCACTTGCTTCTGGCTTTTGGCACTGGAAGTTGCTCACATGTCGTCTGATGGGATGGGTTAGGTTTAATTCAATAGACTGTGCTGTTTATTGAGCTGCCGTCGGAGCAGACGCTTTAAAAAGAGGGAGCACGTTTAACAAGCACTTCATTTCTCCCTCTCAGTCCACGGTGACCTTCAAAGTTGGAGAAGCCCTTCTGGGCGCGGTGGCTCCAGGCCAAGAAGAGAAAGCCCAGCCTGCCGCTGGCATCGACCCCCAGGGAACCAGACTGGAACATGAGGAGAGAGGATTTCCCAGTATTTCCAACTGCGACCTTCAGAGCCGTACAAACGTTAATATTAACCTCATTAGAGGCGGAGGCCTTTGGGTGACCTCGCACGGGTAACTCCCCCCCTCCTCCCTCTCTCCCTCCCTCCATCCGGATTTATTTCGGAGGCCGGATAAGTGATGCTATAGGTCGCTAACATCCTCCCTCCGGCTCTACCCAAGCCGCGCATGCTTGCCGAGAGCCGGGCCCCCCGCCCGGGCTAGGCAGGGCTCGGCACAAGCCTTTTTTTCCAGCCAGGGGAGGCTGCGGGGGTGGCCGGAGGGCGCAGCGGCCACCTGCTGCTGGCTCCTGCCCCGGCCCTGTCCGTGGTGCTGCCGCCGGGCCGTGGGTCCCACCCCGCGGGGAAAGCGCCACCCGAGGAGCCGGGAGCGCTCAGCAGCATCCTCCCACCCTGAGCTCTCTCCTCCAGGCTCGCCACAGGCATCCTGTTGCACCGGGGACGAGGCGGCGAGAGGAGCCCGGTTTTCCTGCCAGAGCCTGGGATCTACTGGGAGCTGCTGGGATCTACTGGGAGCTGCTGGGAGCCGCTCCTCGCTCCCGACAATGGCTGCGCTGCCTCGGCTGCTGTGGGTGTCCTCGGCCGTGCTGGTGGTCTGGGGTAGGTGCTCCTTTCCTTGTCATCCTCGGGTTCGCCTCCAAATCCTCTGCTTCTTTCCCGGAGGATGCTCCTTTTCCCAGCAGGGTTTCTCTGAGGCTGCCGCGGAGCCCAGCCTTCAGAGTGGATTTTAGTTTTGTTTACAAGAGGAGAAGGAAATAACGTTTAGAGAGTTACTATGGACGTAATGGAGTTAATGTGAACAAAGAAAATGCGTTCTCGCTAAGTGGGCTTACTGCAGAAAACGTGTGCTTTATATGCATGCAAGTTCCTTACTGTTTCCCGTTTGCTTTTGTTCTCAAATTTGCAATGTAATTTAACATGTAGTTTCCTTAGAGAGGTTGTGCAAACCAAAATGCGGTGCGTTAGTGCTAGTTGGCCATGCAGGCTGTGTAAACTGGAGGAAACGTGTAGCTTTTATTGCAGTTCCAGTTTTTCCTCTGAAACCCAGCAAAGGTTTGCTGGTTTTGCAAATACAGCTAAATGTAATCTGCACGTATACCTACAGCTCTGTGTACGTGTGTGTGGATGTGGGTGTACATATTTAATTGAAATGGAATAAAGCATGAGCCAGTTTTTTTTTTTTTTTTTCCTTTCTCCTGGAAAGCTGTTGCTACCCACGGAGCTGGTAGTATGGGAGAAGTGGAATCCGGCTGTTCCCCAGGATAAGTCCCGGGATAATTCAGTGCTCAGGAGTGTGGGGGTTAATGGGATCTCAGAGGCTGGGGAGGAAGGGAGCAGCTAGCAAAATCAGCATCTTCACTCATCTATACTCTAGGCTTTGGAGACAGGTTTGGACAGACGTAACCCAGCATTGTTTAGCCCAGGGGACAAATGTCAGCAGGGATTTAGTCTGAGATGCTGTTCTGAAGCATTCGTTTTCACATCAAGTACTCGGCTTCACAGATTGTGATTTTTGTCTTGGTTGGGAGAGCAGTATTTTCTAGTTGCCAGTGTTAGCAGAAATCTGATTGGAAACATTTTGAACAAGAATGCATATAAAATCAATAACTCCCCCAGCTGCCAGATGTACTCGAGTCCAACCCCCTTGGTTCCTTGGACTGCTTATGAAACCTAGAAACAGGAAGCGAAATGAGAATCTTACCCCTTTGTTTTGAATACATTGCCAGATTAAAACATCCAGACCTTTTAAATTAGCACAAAGAAGAGCGAGCTGTTCCTCCATGCTTGAATTCTGGGCTTTCTCTCATACCAGACACTGTAATTGCTGCTGAAACAGGAGCATGCTCAGCATGTGCGAGAGAGAATGAACAGTGCCTCTAAAGCAGCATTAATTACTAGGGGGAAAATTAAAGTTGTGGCGAGGCAGATGCTGGAGAGGTGAATCTGCATGAAGTGATCACCCTCTGTTAATTATTATGAATTATTTATGCCTCTGAGAAGGAAGCTTCGTAAAATTTGACATTTGAGACTTAGTTGTTGTCAGAGGGTGCTAGTATTGAATCAAAAGGTTTTTCACTGGGGGATGATGGGGTCGTAAGTGCTGAGAATTGGGTAACTGATACCTCTCTTTTTCTCTCTTACATTTCTTCTCACTTCTCCTCCTAGCTGGTTTCTGTTCTGCAGTATGTGTTGAAGTTCCATCAGAGACAGAGGCTGTCCAAGGAACACACATGAAGCTACTCTGCATCTCCTGCATGAAAAGGGAAGAGGTCACAGCCAGCACCATGGTGGAATGGTTCTACAGGCCGGAGGGTGGAAAAGATGAACCCGTATGTATGTTTGGTAGCTGAGCCCTTGCTTTCCTAGGTCGTCTGGTGAAACACGGTCCAGTGAAGGCATGTAGGAGAAACCAAAAGGTGCTAGGAGAGTGAGTTTGTCTTGCCACAGGATCCGTGATGAAGAAGAGAGACCCAAATACAAACAAAAGGTTTATGCCTCGTTTTCATTCAAAGTCTGTAGAAATGCCTAGCAGGCTGCTTTAATGACATGGAGGAGGGACAAGCTTGGAGCTAAATTCAGCTCCAACCTGCAGGTCTGCACCATTTGTGTAGCATTTTCGCCCAGATATTCCACAGCACCACTTTTGGGCAGCGTCTGAAGTGTCTTTTCCTTGTTTAGCTGTTATCCACGCTTGCACACAGCAGGTACCTGTGTCAGGAAAAGCTGGAATCTGTTGGTGAGCCCAAACATTTGGGGCTGTATGTACATGAATGAGAATTGTAGTTCTTTTCCTTTAATATGCATTGTCTAATATATGAGGGAATTGAGAAGGGAAACAAAAGTATGGAGTGAATCCTGGCTGCCTTGGCCAAGTCTTATTTCCTGGGCCACCTCTTAACCCTGAAACTGTTCTTTGGAGGTTAAATCAGGCTCTGCTAAATCTGTAGGACAGAATTTAATTATTTTTTTGCTACAGAGAAAGCAGTAGTGTGCTCACTGTGGCATGATCTCTGTTGTTTTGGATCCCTGTCAGGAAAGGGTAAAATTAAATTTTCAGGGTGAATTAAAATGAGAATCTTACACAAGAGGCAACTGGAAATCAAGAAAGAATGGTGAATCTGAGAACAAGGTTTGAGTGCACACATTCCTTTCTAGCTATTTTATCTAAGTATGAATAATTACGTCAGTACCTGCATTTTACTGTGATTGATCAGAGACAGACAAGATAGCAAATAGGCTCCAACTGTCTGAGAACAAAAGGAGCCATACTAGGGAGTGAGGCAGGCATTCACTTTCAGTGACCCAGGCGATAGGTTTGCTGGTGGCGACCCAAAGAAAGGTAATGAAGGTGAGCAGGGGCAGGCAGTGTAATGCTGTGATCATGTATAGTGGTCAGCCAGCAACTTACCAAAGATTAGGCCTGTGAAAGCCACCTAAGATCTGTTCTTCTGACATACTGTTTTCACACTGCTCTATTTCTTCTGCAACACTTTGATTTCAGCTGAGTATCCCAGGGCTTACTGAAGATGACCGTTTGCCTTAGCAGTATTTATTTTCTGTGGTACCTTCTGAAGATGATCCAGTGACTGACAGGCTGGTCGTTAAGACTACGGGATCCTAATTTTAGTTGCATTGCTGATCTTTTGTGTCATTGTCCCTATGTCTCTCTGCTGTTCTGTGCCTCAGTTTTTCTACTTCCACAATGGAGATAATTCAGTTTTCTCTCTTTTGCAAAGATTTTGAGGTAAAAGATGGTAGAATCTGAATATCTGTTGTTCCCAAGGAAGCCATATCCCAGACCATACACAGGTGTACCTAGAGAAGAACAGATTTTCAACCATTTCTTGCATATTCTCTGGTGTTGTCCAAGATACGAGTCAGTGATTAATCTGAGAATCCCTTCACATTTCCTCACAGATCTACAAGTACAGGAACACAAATCAAGAATTTCCAAGCCGCTTCAGTGGTCGGTTACAGTGGAATGGGAGTAAAGACATGCAGGATGTGTCCATCACTGTGTTAAACGTGACCTTGAACGATTCGGGTATCTACACCTGCAATATCACCCGGGAGTTTGAGTTTGAGATTCACCGGCCTCTCTTCACAAGCTCCAGACTGATCCACCTCACCGTGGTGGAGGAGGGTACGGAGGACTGGCAGACTGTGTCTTGTGTCCTAATGTGCCATGGGTGTTGCCTAACAGGGGCATAATTTTGTATTGCATTGCAGGAGAGGGGGGACTGAGCTCCCAGGTAGCTGCGTCTTTCTTTGCCAACAGCAAGTACTATGCAGGGTTCAAGAGGAAAGCCCAGCTTTATTATTTTTTTTCCTGACTGCAGCCTTGCCTTGGGCACAGAGTGCTTGTGTGGGGAAGGTTTAAGCATGGAAGGCTGAGGCAATGTCTGGGAACAGCTGGGCAGGCACAAAGTGCAAGCAGAGGTTTCCTATTTCTCTGCTCAGAGCCCTCCCTTCTCCCCTGGCGGCTCTGGGATGCTACAGCACAGCCTTTGCCAGGATACCCACAGCTTCTCCTTCCTCGCTCCCGCCCCCTCCCTCTTTCAACTCATTCTCCATTTTGATAGCAGTCTGTTGCTTCTTCCCTCTCCCAGCCCCTCCTTCCCTTTGCATTGCTCCTGTCTTACCCCTCCTTTTGGTTTTGCTCCCGTCTGTGCCGAGATCCTGGCTCATTAGAAATCAGTAGGAATCCTGCTGTCCTCTACAGAGAGGGACAAGAGCTTTTACCCCTCATCTTTTCCTGTTGTGTCTGCCCTTTCCTTCTTCCCCACAAGTATCTCTGTTTTGATCTCTCTCAAATCACTGCCGGCACAGCACACTCAAGTAACAGCAGTGAGTAAGATGTACAAAGGAAGCAGAATGTGAAGATGAGACAGGCACACGGTGAGCAATCTGTAGGAATGTGTAGGTTGCAGAGAATGCAAGACACGTGCAAGCCTCTGCATGCTTGATGCCTGTGGAAACACGCAGTGGAGTCGCTGCTGGCATACATATTCTGCTGGCAGCCTTGCCTGCTCCCTGTCTTTCGACCCATGACAGTGGAGTGGCACTTGGGTCTGTGGCAAGGTGGGTTAGGAAGGAAGGCACGAGGGTTTGAATGGAGCTGCTGTGCTCTGACAGCATGTAAACGATCACGCGCACGTAAATGATCAGAGATGATTTCATTTTCTCAACAGCTGGAGAAGACTTCACCTCGGTCATCTCTGAAATTATGATGTATATTCTGCTGGTCTTCCTCACCTTGTGGCTACTGATAGAAATGGTCTATTGCTACAGAAAAGTCTCTAAGGCAGAGGAGGCTGCCCAGGAAAATGCGTAAGTGTGACATCCCCCCAGACGTGAGCGGTGCTGCAAGGGTCCTTCAGATGTCTCAGTCCAGGTCAGACTGCAAGAAGACCAAACCTTGCTCTTGCACGTTTCTAGCTGATGTTTGCTGTGTCTGGAATAATTGCAGTGTTCTGGAGTACCAAAAGAGACGGTGTAGTAGCAAGGTGAGGGATGATGTACAGGCAAGGGAGGGTGGCCAAGGTGGGCAGTATTCCAAAGTGGCCCAGCGTGAACCGTGTGGAGATGCTCTCGTGGAAGGCCAGCCCTCAGAGATCTGACTCACAAGCCTGCAGCCTGTGCTACCTTGAAAAAGCAGAGGAAGAGAAGGAGAATTCTGGCAGCTGATTCACCAGGGATGTTCCAGTTTTTATGCTGGCCCGTTCCCATCTCTAGGAAAGCTGTATGTATAGGATTTAACAGTCGGGAAGGCTCACTGTCTGCTCCTGACTATGCCAATGAGAATGTCCTACTGTGAGCATCTTCTACAGGTGGAATTTGTTACCTTAGAGATACTTACAGTCATTCGGTGTCTCTGAAAGGGTGAATGGGCCTGAAATGTGCACTTGAGGTTAAGCTTTCCTCTTTCCTTCCAACTACAGAACAGACTACCTTGCGATTCCATCAGAAAACAAGGAAAACTGTGCCGTGCCTGTGGAGGAATAGCAGAGAGGAGCCAGCGGAACAAACGGCACCAGGGTAGGTGATGAGGGAGCAGTGAATTGCTGCTTGTGCCTGTCAACCCCTCACCCTTACTACAGTGGGTTAGATGTGTGGGGCTGGAGAAATGGCAGAGGGGAGATTCCTGTAGTCTGGCTTTGCCCCTTCTCTGGAGCTTCTCCAATGACATTAGAAGCAATTCAGGTGTCTTTGGATGGTGGGTATATTTTAAACCCCAAACCAATGCACATATTTAGGCTGTGATTTCATTACTCCTCCTTTGTGCATGCCTGTGGAGTTGGGAACAGTCACTGTCCCCTGCAGATGGGGAACAGGAGGAATAAATGGCACTGTCTCCAAAGGATACGTCTCCTAGGAAGGACTTTGTGTACAAACGTCTGTGACCTAGATCTAAAGACTTGTTCATGTCCTGTCAGGTATCACGCTAAATGTATCACGACCCTCATTTCAGTACCTTCAAATGACTTGCACTCCAAGGGAATTCTTTCACTTGCAGGGGCTCTGAAGACAGAAGGACCATGTCATGCCAGCCAGGTTTGAGGGGGAGCTCTACGCCGTCGGGAGGAAATGCGGGGAAGTGTAAATTCTCTTCCATTTGCCTTGGACTCTGTACAGCCTTGACTTTGGCCTCATGACTCCATTCTGAGCTGCCAGCCCATTTGTTAATGGACTCTCCTTTTGAAGCATGCTGAGCAAAGGGCACGGGGGTGTGGGCAGCACGGCTCCTTCCCAAGTTTCAGTCCCCTCATCACGTTAATGGCTTTGTAAATGTTAGTGTCATTCCTTAGCTGCTGTCACCACCACTTTTATTTGCGAAATATGCTAGTTCTCCATTGCAGAGGTAAAGGTTGTATGTATCATGTTGTTCTGACCTGCAGGACTGGGAACGAGGTCATTTAGGGTGATGTTCCGCCATTTGTTACAGCCCCAGCATTTATTAGAGGTGTTAAACAGAAGGAGTTCAATTATTTGAGTTATTTTTTATATTTTTATTATATTTGAGCTCAGTAAGTTGCTCTGGACTTTGGGCTACCAGTGCAGATGTAGAGTATGAGGTATGAGGACTATAAATGCATTGCAATTGATGAAAAACGTGTAGTGAAGGATGAGTCCCTGTGCCATGTTTGCACTTGCTTCTGAAGGAGGGAGCTGAGAACATAAATCCCAAAGTACTCCTAATTTGGGAGGCTGTATGATACAAGAACCCCCTGTACCCTCCCTTCCACTTAGCACGTATCAAAATTCTTAGTTCCTTCCATTTCCCTTGTGTAGCAGGTTTACGTCTCAAGCACGCAGAGACACAGTGGTAGGAATAACCTGTGGAGCCGTGTTCAGCAGCAACAGGCAAGCCAGTCAGACAAGGTATGCCTTTAACCTGTTTCTGGGGAAAACCCTGAAAGGATGACAGCTGGAGGCAAACAAGCATGCCAAGTAAATAGGATGCGTAGTCCTCACAGTAAAAGGACTGACAGCTTAGTAAAATGATTGTGCTTGTAACCGTGATGGTCTTCTCACGCTATCCTACAACACCACCTAGAGGAATATGGAGAAAGTGGTTACTTTTTCCTAGTTTTGTAGTAATTCTGTATTACGTGATCATTAGTCTCAATATTCATTGTAAATGACCCACTGCTGCACAGGAATTACACTGTAAATTCAGTGAATGCAAACTGACCTTTTAAATTTTAGTGGTTTAAACAGAATAAAATCAGTTTTCTGGCCTCAAACGTAGATATTTGAGCTCAATAACTAGGACCATGAGGAAACAAATGGTAGAAACATTGGGGTAGAATTGTACTTAAAGTGGGAGAAGGTTTTCTTTTGATATAGGAGATGGTGTTACACCCCTGCTGCAATGGAGCCCGTACTGTTTGCAAGAGCTGACAAATTTTGCTACACTGACCGCTTTTAAGTATTACAAAGTGCTTGTGAATCAAAAGCATGCTTCCTACATATGGAATTTCCCCTGCTTATGTTCTGCTGCAGATTATGTGTTGCTAAAAATCACAGAAGTTGTTCCATTTGTCAAAGCCCAAGCCAGATTTCTAACTGGCAGTTGTTCCAAATGCCTTTCTTAGAGCAGTGTCAACTTCAGTAAACTACTAGGATCCAGTCTTCACCTTAGGATCTTTCTCAAGCCCAGAGCTGAGTCTGGCAACGTGAGCACATTTTCCAGATGAAGCACGCTTGTAGTCTGGGCACTGGTTCCTTAAACCATAATGTCCAAAAATAGCTCCTCTTCCAGTTCTGATGGATATCTTCATTTTCCCTAGGCCAACGTGCCTGGCCTCAAGGCAATTTTTGGCATAATCCGAACTCTAAATCCACAGCATCAGAGGAGTGACTAGACAATAACTACTGAGTTGCCATTGCTGACCATGGCAATAATGCTCAGAGTGATTTTTAGGTAAGGTTACGTAAACCTCTCTCTCACTTCAGCTCTGTTTCTCCTAGTCCTTGTGAAGTACTGATAACCTTCTGATGTTATAATGTGAAGTCAAAAAAGGAGAAAATTGAAAACTTCTTGAGAGCTACCTCAGGTGGTAAAGAAGGGCCGTCCTTTAGTCCTGCACCTTCGGGTATTACGCACGCATCTTCTTAAGATGCCTTTTGGACAAATCTTTCACTTTTCCAGTTCTTGCATACAGATAGGACTATTGCCCTGTGTTGTTCTAGGCAGGGGAAAATGGTGCCTAAATTCTACTCAAGATTCCCATAGTGAAAAAAAAAAGGAGGGGGGGGGGGGAGGGTGGTTTCTCAAGGATGGTGTTAAAGGCAGGCTGTGTCCTGGGAGAGACGGTCCTGGTTGGTATCTGAAAAGACCCTCCCTGTGTATTTGGCAATGACAGAAGAGATTTTAGAATAGGCAGGACAATAAAAAGAACAAAGCACTCATGAGTCATGCTGTTTGTCTGATAGATTTTTTTTTTTTTAATTTATACTTCCATTGTACTAGCTACTTACATTAAGTTTCGGCTGCATAGCCTTTACAGTTCCTAGGTTCTAGCAGGTAAGTTTCATTATCGTTTTATCGCATTTTGCGCACAGCGCAAAGTTTGACAGTTATACAACTCCTAAAACAAAATCACGGTTCGTCCCCCACCCCACCCTGAAGTTCACGGTGGTGCTACAGGCTGCGCCGGCCTTGGCCAACAGCCCTCTGCTTCCCGGGCTCCAGTGGTGAAATCCCAAAGGGAAGCACGCACCTGCGGGTGACTGTATGACCCGTTCCCTTTCCTTGCTGACATGAGGCCATCCTCGTTAATTTGCAATTACGACAGCATCTGGGGTTGCAGGATCCAGGGCCTCAGGTGAGGAGAACACGCTCCAGGGTCTTTAGCAGCTTTATCCAGCCCTGGAGCATGCGATGAGAGATGAACTGCTGTGGGAATGACAACGTCCCAGAGGTGCCGCAGCCACACGATGCCAGTCCGGGGTGGTTAAGGATGTACGCTGCAACGGTTCTGCTGCTCCTCCCTCCACTCCGACCTCAGCAGGCCAAGAGCCAGGTTAGTGCTTCCGTATCTGCTCTGCTAAGTGCTATTTCAGGGGAGGTGGGCTTGCGGAGATCGGAACTACACCCGTGTGGCACAGGCTCCACCTCTTTGCTGGATGAAGTTGCTGTTTCGTAACAGCTGCTCCCACAAATCCTAATGCTGCTGGGGCAGTCTGAGCCGAGACTGTGACACGACCAAGTGGCTGTAGAACCTGAGCTGCACGTTTGTTTTATTCCCTAACTATTCTTGGAGTTTCAGTTGGGGAAAGTGGCCATTTAACGTTAGCAATGGAATTGGCCTAAATGAGTGAGGTAACAGAAACGGCGAGAGAGGGTACCTCCCTGAGCCATGTGCAAATATAATTCCTTCTGCAGAAGGAAGTCCTTTTCCCTACTGAAAAAAAACAAAAACAAAAACAAAAACAAAAACAAAACAAAACAAAAAAAATCACATTCACTTGAAGAGCGGTACGGACTGCATCAAGGAAAGGCAAGCAGGGACAGCACCAGGTCAGTCCACCTATGACAAAGGGAATGATTGTCTGGCAGCAAAGGGACGTGGGGAGAGGGAAGAGCCATAGCAAGCACTGCAAAATGTGTGTGGGAGAAGAGGGCATGGCACACCACGTATCCATGCTAAGGGTTAAGCCCATGCTGTCTGGCTAGATCAGGGAATAATCTCAATCGGCAGTTGATCAAGACATGAGGAGCTTATTTGGCCAGTGTGCACATCTAGAAAAAGACAGGTATTATGGCACAAAGAGACTCGTGCTATGGAGACTGCAAAGCGTAGAGCTCAGAGCATGCCAGGCAGAGGGAACGGGCCTAAAGGTCGGCACGGTCACATCTTGAAAACTACACTGACACAAAGGTTTTGCGAGCCACTTACCTCAGATGCTTTGGTTTAAGAGACTCTGTTTTGAGTATTGTTTTTAAGCAAGCCCCTGCTAGATGTTTTAACTAGTGCTGAGACTGAAAAGACTGAGTCTACACGACTGCACTGTTTGGGTGGTCCTGTGTGGAGCCAGGAATTGGACTCAGTGATCCTCGTGGGTCCCTTCCAACTTAGGCTATTCTACGATTCTCAATGGCAGCAAGCCTAGCAGAGATCCTGCTGCAATGAGCTCTTCAGAGTTGTGCACGTAATTTGGAAAAAACAGTTCTGGCAACACAATTCGGCCTTGAGAAACATGACTGAGTGCCTCCCTTGAGTCAGGTCCTTGCTTCCCCTAGCCAGCAGTACTGCAAGCACCCAGTGCTGATGCTCCGTTTGCTTCACCTTTAGCATGCTGTGGAACCAGAAATTGCCACTTCTAAATTAGAAAGTGGTTTGCTTGTATCCTGATTGGGAAAAAGAAACACGGATAGAGTCCTGCCCTGGGTATATGCTGGAAAATGGCTAGTTGGGTACGTACCTCCCATGGAAGCAAGCATGGACATTCTGTGGAGAGGTACTTTCGGGAGCAAGGTTGTGTCACACAGGTGGCAGAGTAGGACTCAATGTGTTTGCCACAAATGAAATTTTACCTATTGGAGACAGAGCCTCTTCCCAGATCATTGCAATAGGCTAGAGACTGTGTATGCCTGGAAATGAGCATTCACAGATGTTTTTTTCCTACACCTTAACTCACACTAACTTCATGCTGTGTTTCTGGAAATGAACCCCAGAGGAAGAAGGGGCCCAAAAGTTTTTCCACTAAGTAAGGAGAAAATCCTCTAACTAGCTAGGAGTGATTCACTCCCCCAGAATTTCCACCACTAACCTCTAGTTTGCAGCTCATTCTGTGTGAGCAGTGCTGGTCTCTTTAGGGTTGGAGATTATCTGTACCACTCTGTCCTAGTGCTGGCTGGTATGAAAGCTGCAGGCTGCCCTCTCTGTCTCCTCAATTTAAGTGCGTCTGCATCCCTGAAAGATGATGGAAATACAGGTCTGAGAAGGCAGAGCCACCAGGAAAGGGAGAAGGATTAAAGTCATGTGAGAAAGAAACTGTATTCACCAAAACCTGTATGTATGCACTCCCTTCTGGTTAGCATTTTTGACATGTAGAAGTGAAACCGTGAGGCATGAAAGTGTGTCTTTCCCTCTGCTTGGGCATATCGCAGGCCTACAGATCTGCACAGAAATGGCTGCACAACACAGCACAACACAAATTGACTTTGAGCTCATCCCAGATGCCATAACCCAAACACCTCTTTCAAGGTAAGCGTTAGGAGGCATATGTTTATTAGAATTGAACTTGTATCAAGCTAGGATTACCAAGTATATTCTTCTCCCACAGAAACAGGTGGCAAAAACAAACAGGCAAGTCAGGGCTTTCTGTCTTCTCCCTCCTGCCAATCAATAAGTAGCCTCTTGGCACGAATTAGGCTACTATCTGTTGGCATTACTTTGCACATATCACTTTTGGCTGGGAAATGCTTATTTGAAAACTTCTTGTTTGCCAAGATTCTGAGAATAAAAACCTAGCTACAGTCACCAGACAGGTTACCAGTGTCAGAAAGGACAGCTGGAGGAACTGGCAGGGAAATGTTTGCAAGGTGCTATAAAACTGCCATTCGTGTGGGATTTCTGTCATAGGTAAACAAGTGAAAAAGCAAAACCCTATCAATGAAAGCCAAGCTGCAGCCTGGCTGTGACTGCTTAGGTAAGGCAGAAGCACCACCTCCTGCAACATCAGTTAGGTTGCTCAGCCTTGCTCCTAGAAAGCATTTGCTAATTTCCCTAGGAAATGCAATCATGAATGAACTGCAGCAAAATTGCCTGGGGCTGTAAAAGGAATTAATCTGTTGATTGGAATTCATCTGCAGTAGCAGGTGATTCCTATCGTAGTTCTCTACAAGATGGCATCTAAATGAGAACATGCTGAGGTTTTGTGTGAGCCCTTGCTTTTGTGCCACTGTGGGTTTTGCCTTATGGAAAAGACCTTAGTTTTCTCTTTCACTACTACTTCGATAAGTGGCAATAAAGGATTGCTTCACAAAGCCAGACTACCCACCTCCAAGCCAGACTTGCTGCCAAGTGACAAAAAAAAAAATCCAACATAACTAGGGTTTTGAGAAAAGGAAACCTAAGAACCCAAACAGCAGCGTTCCTCATTCTGAAGGGCATGTTTGGTGACCACCACTCTTAAGTTCTTTATTGACACCCTTATGGTCTTGATTGAGGAATTTAATGCAACTGTGTGTTAGAGCTGTCAACCATGTTAAACAGTTTAGAGTAATGTGCAGGCAGAATGAATATTAGTGCTTAATATTTTTATATCTGCCTGTGTGTAGCCTCACATTAATTTAACTGAGTTTGTGCAATTCTGTCTCTAAGGCCAAGCCCAAGGAAGCCAAATCAGTGGGAACATCCAGAACCCAATGTGACCACCATTTGCAAAAATGCTGCAGAGGAAGAAGGACACACACATAAGCAAAGGGATTCCGTGCCTCCACAACTAGCAAGAGAACACCAGATGGGTAAGAAGCCAGCTCTGACTACTGTTTTACCTTCTCGGACACATGAGTTGTTCTGTCTCCTGCTGGGTTGTCTTTCTACAGACAGAAGCTTGCCAGCCAGGTTACAAAGACCCACGTTCCAGGTTTCTCTCTCAAGATACAGCCTTTCTATTTTCTGGCAAGGAAACGCAGCAAGCACAGGGCTTCCTTTCTCTTTTTTCCTTCTCTCTGAAATTAATTTTTGAAAAAGGGGAAGATGGGCAGCAAGGCATTTTTCTGTGCTTAGCAACTGTGGGAGTAACAAATGGGACTCAGCCAGTGTGGCAAGTCAACAGCGGGGACGGAGCTGGGGCCCTTTGGTCCCAAGATGAGAGCAGCAGGATACCCTTTCAGGTTACTAGCAGCTCAGATTCATCGTACAGTAGCCATTTCAGCAGCCTCCCTGGAAAAAGCCAGGGAGCAGCGCAGTAGTCAGCAGCATGAAATCAAACAGACAGACATAAATACAAGTTATTCTCTAGTTTCCGAGGCATTTTTTTTTGCCAGTTGTACCTTTCACACCCTTAAATGTGCATTCAGTAACCTGCCTTCATCCACACTCCTTCAACTGTGAGTCTTCGTCCGTGGGACGTGTTTAGAATTTGGTCATGAAAAATCTTAGGCAGGCTGGGAGAAATCAGTGGGTTACTTCTGCCAATGGTACCTTTCCCTGGTTGGGCTGAGGGAGCTTGTAAGGGTTTTCCTTAGACTCGTTTTCTTCCCCAGCTGTGTGGATCAGTGTTTCTGGTACAAAGATACATAAACCAGTTACTCACCCTTATGTCCCCTGCTCTTTCAGTGCCAATTAGAGCAAAAGACAGTGGACGAGCTAGAACCGCACCATCTGCATGTGGGGAATATGCGGCTGAGTCCTTCCTGCCATTTAGAAGGTGGAAAAATCCTGGTGTTGAGTAATGATGAAGACTCAGGGTCTCCCATACCACCTAATCTACCTAGCCAGGTAAGATGAGAAAGCATTTATTAATCAGCCACTCAAGCACCCTGCATCCCACCCACTCACAGTGGCTTCTTTACACTGCACATCACAATCTCTCTGCCATTCTTTCTGATTTGGCTGCTAAAGGGAATCTGGAATTATCCCCCACAAGTAGTAAAAACACACAATGTCTTTAATGCAGCTCTACCACCTGACTTGCTTAGAGAACAGATGCATTGCTGTGCAGCTTAGGAGACAGCCCAGTCAGATGCCTTACAGTGTGGACATCCCCCAGTCTGTCCTGCACCCCCTAACAGTCCCTTTTTAGTCCCTTTTTTCTTTTCTTTTTTGGTCCCTGTGACTCTTCCTAACCTCTATGAGGACTGATGAAGGCTTTGCTGTTATAGCTTGCCCATAAGGATCCAAAGCAAAGGTGTTCTTTTGTTGTCATTGCTAAAGGAAAGGATATTTTTCTTTTCTACCTAATGCTTTCCCACATGGATTAGAAGTAAAAGTCAGGGCTAAGAGGTATGAGCAAAGTGGTCTCTCAGACTAGGAGCAAGAGGTAAACTTGCTAAGCAGGATGGCAGGAGTGGTTCTGCTAAGTTCCCTTAGCTTTCCCACTCCACACTGTGCTAATAGCACGTGGTTTGGCAGAAAGGAGGGCTCGCATAGAAATACTCGTTTTGATTTTGTTTTTTAAGTTGGGGCACTCCCCCTGTTGTGAGAAGTCACACAGACAGCCCTTATCAGCACCGATGTAGATCTTCAGCACAGGGATGGCTTAATGGCAGGGGCCCAAGCACACAAAAAGCAGAGAACCACAGAAAACGTAAAGGGGACACTGTCAAAACAGATGGAAGTGTGCTTTCTGCAGCGTGGCTCTCCTCCATCTGAGCACCATGGGGGCAGATTCTCCCCCTTCCCACCATCTCCTTGGCAATTAATGCAGTATCAATAGCAGGAGGAGGCAAACTAGGTGTTTGGAGAAAGCTTTTCAGGCTTATTTACATTCTGTGCTTTGCTCTCCGAACCAGGCTGACCAGCACGACAGCAAATTGCATTTCTGCTCCAAGAGCCATAAGGCTGATTGCCAGTGAGACCTGCTCTCCACAGACCTAGAGCAATTCCTCTGGAGGCCTCCTCTCCAAACACGGAGTAGTTTTGTGAGGGATTGATGGTGATTGCCAAAACCTCTCTGTCCTGAAGCCAGCAAGGTAAGAAGTTGACAGTGTTCCCTTTATACGTGTAGATACACAGAGTCAGTCAGGGACCTTCATGCGCAGGGAGGGGAGGGGCATTCGCTCTGATGCTTCCCTTTGAAACAACAAAAACAAAACAGACAGACAGACGAACAGACAGCCAGGAGTATTACAGAAGAGTGGTGCAAAAGCCCAGGGTAGCACACAGGGTGCATCCCTAAGCGCACCTCAGTGCCAGGAGAGCACAGCCCTCCCACACGCACACACACGCACACCCCACACTACCACCGAGACGCTCCATTTCAACCAGTGTTTGGAGGTCAGTCCTTCCTCGCGATACGTAGGCTTTTTTTTTTCTCTTAAAATCTGTATATAATATATATATTTATATTCTGTATATATATATATTTATATATATATTTATATATCCTATTTACACATATTGCACACCGTCCTCTGGCCTCCTGCATTCCTGCCTGTTAGTGGAAACGTTTCCGTTTCTCTTCTGGATCTGACCCGAAGTCCCGGGACCCGATGCCATTCTGGAGATTTATTAGTGAATCCTTCATCTGCAAGACAAGAAACGTCTCCAATGTGCTGCTACCCTGAAGGTGACAGAGCTTCGGGATTTCCTTCCCCATCAGTGCCTCCAGGTGCCTCCTTCATTCATAGAAAGTACTGACACCATAATACCTGCTGTAGGGGACTGGGAGGTACCGGTGGCGACTGAGAAGATGGGAGCCAGTGAGACAACAAGGGATGAGCAGAAGAAGGTACAGGGTGAGTGACTCTCAACCTAGGAGACAGCAGCTTGTTTCTTTTAAGTGTTTCAAGCTGCCCAGCACACAACTGGCTCTTCAGGCAATGGATACTAAAACTGCTGGCTCTGTGCTGTGAAGACATGGAGAGCGCGTCCCCTTCACCCATGTGAGCTACATATGAACCCAGGGTTGAGGGGAAAAATTTTGTATTCCAAATGGATTGCCAAGGTCTTACAGACCCCTCTGGAATGTCAGAGCCTAGATACAAGGTGAGTTGTCTAATAAAAGGTTTTGGCCCTCCAGAATTCTCTCCTTGACTTGCCTGGACCCCCCTGCGAGGTGAGAGAGAATCCATGGTATCCTGTGAATAGCCCCTGGGATCTGCTGCCCACCCCAGCATGAGGAGATGGAGCTAAAGGGAGACAGGAGTAGAGGAGATGCACCTAACAGGCTGCAGCGGATCCAGGTAAGGACTGTGAGCGGGTGGCTGTGTGGCTGGGAGGACACAGTGACCCTCCACGCACAGCACCAACGGGCCGTGTGGTCTCACCTGGTCTAGAAGCATCACGGAGGATTTGATGATCTCGCGCCATTTTTGTAGCTCTGAGTCATGATACTTCTGCTGAGATTCTAGTAACTGGGCCCATTCTGTCTGAGATTGGGGTAACCTGTCAGGCAGAACATGAGCAAGAGTGAATCTGGGGAAACCATGGTCAAGGGGGAGCAAAGTGGGCTGGCAGGGGAGGGGGGCTGCAGCTTGCATCAATCTCTGTCTAACCCTTCCACCCTACGGGGGTAGCATCTAGATGCACTTATTATTTTCCTAAACCGGATACCACTATTAGCCTGCCTTAATTGTGGTAATTAACAGCAAAGATGTGCCTTTTGCAGAAGTGCTCTAGTGCAGGCCTAATTAATCCTCCACAACAGGGCTGGAGGCTGCTGAGTGGAGGCGGCTCAGGGCAGATGCAAGCTGTTAGGCTGCTGACAGGAGGATCCCCAGGCCTGGCTGCTCAGGGCCAGAGGAAGGACATCAGTGCACCTGGTGCATAGGTGGAGCTTAGCTGGGACGAGGCGAGGATAAAGCTCTGTGGAGCAAAGTGATGCGAGGAGCAGAGTTGAGGCAGAGAGCACAGCACTTGGAGACGGCAGGAATGCGCTGCAGAGGCACCTCTCTCGCCTAAGAGGTAGGGTTGTTTTTGTATGCCCCCAGCTTTTAAGGCAGCTACCTCCCTCTTTACTGCTTTTTCTTGGGCCGTGCTAGTTTCTAAGACAGCTAAATCTTTGTCTTCTGCTTTCATCTCTTGGGCTTTGCTTATCTGTAAGAGAGAGGGATCTTCGCTGCTTTGTCTTTTGCTTACCTCCTGGGCTCTGCTTTTTCCTAAGATAGCTGGATCCTTCTTCTCTTAGCCACTGCCTGCTGTATACGCCTCTTAAGCTCTACAGACTGTAGTGGAGACTTTCAAGTCTCCTACCCTGGAGGCTAAGCAGAGCAGGGCCTTCCTAGGGGGAAGGGAGAGCTCCCTGAAGTTCCTTCTTTCTCCAAACACTGTAAGTTAACAGCCTCATTGGTTCCTCTCTTATCTTGGCAAACGGGCAGAATGGGGGCACCTCTGCCGTGCCTTCCTGCCACGTGCTGTGCTAACTGCCTCACCTCCGCTCCTTGTGTGGCTTTGCTTTGCTCCACAGTGTTTTATCCCTGCCTTGTCCCAGCAAAGCTCTACCTACCTGCCAGGCACGCTGCGGTCACCTGCCTGTGGCCCTGTGTGGCAGCTCTGGGCAGCCAGGCCTGGGGATCCTCCTGTCCAGGGCTTGAGGGCTTGCATCTGCCCTGCCCAGCCAGCTCCTGACCTGGAGATTAAACAAGGACATGGTAAGTGTGACAACTAAAAAGCATTACAAGTAAAAAAAAATGGACCCACTCTCAGTGGTCAGTAATCCTAGACTGTAATAAATAACTCTGCTACTAATAAATGTTGCTTTCTGTGTCTAAGTGGAGAAGCCACATACTTAGATTCAGAGTGGGTTGGGGCAGTGAGTAGTCCCCCTAAGTGTACCACTCCTCAATCTCATTAGCACCTAAGGATCATTATCTTCAGAGCCTCGAATTGAATGCTTCTGAGCACACCCCACCTTGAACCCAGCAGGTGGGTTTGGTCTAATCCACAGCAATTGCAGTTACAACACAACAAAGTTAACTGTGCAGAAATAGGGGAAATAGGGCTACCCCTACCCACCACTATAATTACAGTACATGCACATTACAAACAGCATATAAGTCAGTGCTATACTTCATACCATATTCAGTAGTGGTCCAAATAAATACCAAGACTGCCAAAGGGAGATAAAGCAGGAAAAATCACTGACTAGATCTGTGGGACAGTTGCACAGCTATTACCAGTTAAAGAGCAAACCCTCCCTAATGAGAAGTGGAAAGCCTGTAACATAAGACAAGTAACAAACAAAGTCATTTGCTAACTGTGTTTAAAGTCAAGACAAAGTCAGCAGAAGAGGGAATCACTGCAACTACACAAAAGGATGTCCAGAAAGGGGACATAAAGAGACCAAAACACCATAGCAAAGTGGATTGTGATGTTCCCAGCTTCAACTGCTGACTGCAAAGAAGCTGATCAGGCAGGACACCTAGCATTTATGTACAGAAAAAGCATTCACCTAACCTTGCCAGAAGGAATTCAAAACGCCAAATTGCTGGTCATTATTAAACAGCTCTAGGCCATCAGGTCACCACTGTAAAATGCCATCTACCAAAAGGTGCTCTGGAGGGCACCCTGGGAAATGCTGACTGGCAGGTCCACTTCAACTCTAGACCAGATGGGGGAGTCTATCTAATAAAAAATGATCCCAACATATGCAGTCTGGTTGTGGCAAGTCAGCGTGCCTTCTGGAAAAGGAAATGGGAAATACAGCCTTACAGCCTGGAGCTCTCCTCACCTCAAACAGCACACACCCAGCGGACACTAATGAAATGAGATGTTCAAAAAGCCTTGGGCAAGGCTCCACACTATCAGTTATTAGAGAAACTAAGTCAATCTGCAATGACGTTTCACTGCTTACCATCTAGTAAACCTTAAGGGAATGCTTAGGTCGTTATGGAGCACTCTGTCCTCCCAGTGCGCTCTCTCTTCCTCCTATGTTGTAACAACTTGCTGATAGCTAGACCCACACCTTTCAAAATCTTTCAACAATTAATCATGTCACAAGTCCAAATTCTTATCTGGGTACAAAGAGGTTCTTTCTAAACACTGCTTTGAGTGTTTAGAGTTGAGCCATCAGAGAAAGGGAGGTTGGCCCAAGATTACAAAACATTTCTTTGTACAGCCTGTGTCCTCAGATAAGTGGGACCCTGGGAAGAAGCAGAGGTTACCTTAACTCGCTCTCTTCTGCTGTAATTGTTCAGCACTTTGGATCAGGCCCATATCTTCAGCTATCTACCCACTTCATCTGTTACACACAACAGCAAAGCAATCTACCAGACAGCCCTGAGCTGTGGTGTCCTGGGAAAGCCTCTAACATCTGTAGGGAACATGCAAGAAGAGGAAAAGACAAAGCTGGTGTGACAGTACCTCTCCTGGAGCCGCAAGCCCTGCCATGCTGTGAGCGTCTGGGTAGTGTACTCCAACATCCAGAGTTTGTAGAACAGCATCATATTGAGAATGACCAGCAACACCAGACTGCAAATAAAGAGAAAAAACAGTTTACTGGGAGCACTGCTGCCCCATTGCCTGCCTGTCACACCTGGGGAAACATCCAGAGCTTTAACGAGGTTTCTGGAGCCCAGGTCCACGCTGAATGGGAGTGGGAATTTAATTTGTGTAAGGTCCAAGTGATCAGAACCCAAAACTTCACCATGTGGGAGAGATGTGTGAGCAAGGACAGACAGACAGGGATGACAGATGGATGAGACAGGCTGGCTGAGTGGATGTGCTGAATGCAGAGAAAGGGGGGAAATGGGAGAATAAAGAGGTTTAAAAAAAAAAAAAAAAAGAAGACAGTACCTGAAACAGATCCTAATGGGAGCAGGGAAGAGAAAAGACGGAGTAGCTGCAGGTTAGAAACAAACTGACAGAGAACGGGAGAAACTGGGCTGAGCAGAGGTTTATAGACAGTACAGAAGATAAATGGCAGGGAGGAGGGAAGAAAGGAACGGGGAGGAAAGACGCCGGAGGGAAAGAAATAACCGGGCTTGCAATTAATGGTGAAATTCACCCAGGAAAAGATGAGCTGTGTGTGGCTCCTGTGGACACGTACAAAGCGCCCATGGCAGGGCACTAACATGGAAATGCACATTGCACACACCCAGCCCTACCCGCTCCCACCTGATGCCAAGGTGGGCACACCACCACAGGCAAGGCAGCCACTGAGTTCACCAGATGCTGTCAGGCTCCTCTCTTCCCTCCTCCACCGCCACGCATGCACATTTCCACTCTCTTTACCAGCACGAGTGGTGGCTCAGGGAACAGGCTCAAAAATAACATGCTCGTGCCCGTCTCTGAATAGTGCAGCTATTCTGCTGGAAGAATGGCCCCTCTATAGCCCAGCTCAGGCAGGCGGATAGCAACCAGCCAGAAAAATATTCTGAAAACATTACCGAGAGCTCCTTCAGCACTGTAAGCTAAGCTAGTAGCCTGTAAGGAGAGAGCATCATAAAGCTTTTGTGCCTTGCTACCCACCTGTCTAGCCACAGAAGAGAGCACCAGGCTGTCTACCCAAAGCATCTGTCACTTGGCCTGTCACATTTCTCCAGCTGCTCTGGGTCATTGCTGTAAACCTCTGCAGTCAGCAGCAGCACTAACCCATGAAAGTTACTGGCAGCCTGAGACACAGTGAAACCAAAAACACTGCTGGGTTGTCTGCATTTATACAAGGGCCCCATGCCCGGCTCACTCTGGACACACATCCAGCAAGTCCACGGCTAGCAGCTGGGAAAGGTGGTGGCAGAGAAAGGACACAAACTAAAGCACAGTTTCTGCTGCCGAACTAGTAGAACCATGCCAGTCTCTCTTGTCTCATGTGTTTCTATCCTTACTTTGCAGATAGCATCTTTTTAGATGTCACTTTAGATAGAAAAATTAATAAAAATCTATAAAATGAGTCCCTAAAATAAATAAAAAAAAGTCTCTTACTGCTTGTCAGATTTCATCTAACTGTTGACTTGCCTCTCAAAACTGAGGAAAGACGAGACTTTAAAAAAAAAATAGATCTGGAAAAACCTATGGAGCCAGGTCAGTGACTGGCTAAGCACTGGACAAAGCTGGGGTCAAGCCAGACCAAACAGCTGATGGAACATTTGGGGGAAATTTTAATTCATTCTTTTCTGCCTGTCATTGTTTTACTCTGTGCTGAGCAAAGTTTGGGACCAGAGAGGAAGTAGAGAAAAGAAAAAAACGGTACAGGAGAGCAAAGAACATCAGAAACATGAGAGGATCAAAGTAAAGGCAGAGCAAAAAAATTTACTTACACAAAACTGATGACGAGGAGCAGCTTGGAGACACTCTGCAGGTGGAAGCCACTGGGGCTCTCCTCAGGGATGTGCCGTGTCTGAGTGGAACCTAATGAGACAGATGGGTTTGTTCAGGCTATGAAATGCTGCCTGATGGGAAGGACAACATTTTTCTTCTACCCACCCCTCAATCTTACTCAAAAAGTCATCATGCTTCCATCGCTCTGCAAATCCCTGGCCCCTCTGCCCGTTAACCTTCCACGAACACAGCTCCGGTTTGTCTCTGGAGGTGTCCAGCTCTCCACCCCCAAGTGTGAGGTCCCTGCAGTCCCTCACCTGCCACATGCTTGATTCGGTGAGCAACCTCCTCGTCCGTGGGGGTGGTGACGGGACTCAGCACCTCCTCCAAGTGTGGCACCCGTAGGTGGGCATGGGCCCGTTTCCGCCGGCGGACGGTTGATTGCTTGCTCACTTTCTCTTTGGGGGATTGTCGGTGGACCTCGGCCAGGTATGTGCTCTCGGTTTTGGTCAGTTCACTTTCTGCAGAGGCAGCGAGGAAAGAAAGCATTTAATAGAGATGGCAGCAGCCTTGCAAAGATACAAAGCCCTGGCACGGCTGCTGGATGGAGTTCAGCTGGCCCAACCACCCTGGTGGGGTCTGCGGTGGCTGTGCCCGGGGACACACTACAGATCCCTTACACCTTCAGCCAAACCTTGACCCCGGACTGCCTGCACTCATCTCAGAGAGGAGCTGATGGCCCGCAACAGTGTGCCCCTGTCGTGGCTGCAGCTCCAGTCCTTGCCACTCTTACCCAAATGACGGAAGTAATCTTCTAGGCCGCTCCAGAAATTTTTCTCGATGAAGGATTTCACCAGCCCCCACGGCTGTTTTCTGTAACGTAGTTCTGTGGAAACCCTGTGTGGAAAGGGGAAAGTCACTCTCAATTTTCCTTCCAGGAGGTTACATCAATTCACAATCCTTTGTCAATGTATATATAAAAAATAATTATGCTCACACTTATTTCTGGAAGGGTTTTAGCCCTTCGTGTTTCTAGGTGAGAAGCACTGCATGAAAAGTCCTTCCAAAGGCAGTGGCAGTAAGGCCTAAAGAGGACTCGGACTCCCAAAACCTTCAGCCACGGGGCAGGCAGACATTTAGATTACTTATCAGAGTGAAACACAAACACCTCAGTTTCCCCTGGTACCACATTCCTCTGCTTGTCCCCCAAAGTGCTTCTCAGAGGCAGAGCCTTAGTGCATTTAGTTTGTTTTGTATGGCAGCTGTCCCTGCTTCAAAGAAGGGGGCAAGAGAAAATTCTTCTCCCTGACCCAAATGTAACTTCTGCAACAGAGAAGTGGGGCTTAGTTCTCCCCAGCCCCTTCTACCCCTCCAGAAAGAAGCACTCCCACCCCCAAGTGACTTCAGATCATCAATAAAGCTGTTTATCCCACCAGCAGCATACCTGAGTCGGCTTTTGTTTCTGGCAACACGAGTCAACGTGTAGCGGTTAATGGTGTAGAAATAATCGTGGTAGGGGACATCGTGAGTTAGCACCTCTGCATCTATGACGTAGCACTCGCTTTCTTGGCTGGCTTTGTACATTGTCTGTATCAAAAAGCATGCAAGGCAACTGTTAGGCTGGTTGGAACAAGGCTTTGATAGTTAGGCACCTTCACTAGCACTGCACAAAAACAGCTCTACCACAAACAGGAGACCGTGCCCACGCCCAAGCCCCATCTCTGCAATTTCTCCTTAAACAACTGGCCTTCTGGGCAGGCCTGCTCAAGGAGTTAGTTCCCAGTTTTTTGTCTCAGATAACACAGTTACACTGTCACACGAGGACCGATTCTGTGGGACCTCTTCTCACTGAACTAAAGTGTGGCTTGCCAGAGAGCAACCCAATCTAAAATGAGAGCTGAGCCCGCTTTGAGCAGAGGCGCTTTCTGGACTGAATTACTCTGAGTCTAAATACCATAAGACTACATTTGTCATTTCTTTAAAAAAATGAAGACATGAAGAACATGAAGAGCAGCAAGCTCAAGACAAGAAAGCAAACCACAGACCTGTTCCTACAAAGCATACCCCTGCTGCCCTTCCACATACCTGCGTCTCAGTGACAGTGGCAGTTTTGGGGGCCAAGGGGTTGGTGAGGGTAATGGTATAGAGGATCACTCTGGTCTGATTGCCATTTTCCTCCTTCTTCCAAGGATGAAAGATAATATCTGAGAGGAGAAAACAATATTCCATCAAAGTAACTTAAAGCAACCTCAGGTCAGTTCCCTAGTAAAAGCATAACCAAGCTGAGGATTGTATTTCCTTCCCTCTAGAGAGCTTGGCTGCACAAGTGCTAGAGTTCAACTGAGTGTGAAGGAAAGGTCTCCTGTACTAAACATGGTCACTGCAGGGATGAGGTGCATCCTCTGCCAAGATGTGATGGGAGTATCTCTGCCTGAGGCTGTTTTTTGCTGGCAGCAGAGCAGCTGTAGAGGGCCTCATTGTAGTATGGCTTCAGACTGAGGTGTGCCTGAGGAATTAGAAATGTGGGGAGAATTTTCCCCTCTCTCAGTGTATGGAAAGGGATGGAGGCTGAGGCCATTGCTCCTTTTGCAAACCTGCAGTTACAGGGAAAGGAGGACTGCAGGATGCCCAGGAACACTCTTTGCATCATCAACTACACAGCCTTTGCCAGTGTCTGGAGTAGAGCTAAAAGAGCTTTTCCTACAGAATGTTAGGCCTTGAACACAAGATCAGGCCTTAGCTGATGTTAAGAAAAAAATAGAGAATCTGATTCTTCCACAAACTTACATGGGACTCTTATAAAATACACCCCGATAGCCAAACAAGGGTGGTTCTACCTGGTGTTGATTACTGTCAGTACAGGTAGGTGTGGTCCCAAGACCTCACAACATTACCCAATCCCTCTATCGTCATCCAAAGTCACACCTCCAAGGCATGTAGTCAAGAACTAGGAGCTGAGCCCTGCTCTGTGCCCTGCAGGGAACACAGCCTCCGTCAGGGACTGGGCTTTGCCACCAGCAGCTTACCAGAGAACCGACGCTGTTCCATGAAGTCTCTCTGGAACTGAGAGTCCGTGAAAAGCAAGTCGTACAGTTTGTCCACGCTGAAGTTGAACACTTCGTTCACGTACTGACGGCCATTCAAATCCTCGTAAAAGGCCTGGACTTCACCTGTGGGGAAACAGGCCCACAAGCCCCAGGCATGATTCTCTGTGCCAACCTCCCAGACTGTTCTTTTACAGTCCAGGACAGTACTGGACAGAATTTTACTTTGTGAAGAGGATCCCAAAGGAAGTGCTTCTATCCCTTTCCCACCACTGATCCCAGCCCAATAGCTGGAACATCAGGTGGGGTAATTAATACATGACATTACTTTAGGGACAGCCTTCCAAATATCCCACAAATTCACTTTCTGCAGCCCAGGCCAAGAATTCTTTGCATCTTCTGAACTCTTAAGGTCCAGAAAAAGAATTCAGTATTTGCTGCCCCAGACCCTCACTGAAACAGACAGGGCAAAACACGACACCAATGGAAGGGGTTCCTCCCTGCATACCTTCATCATGGGTCTCAGAAGAGTCGCTGAGCTCCGTGGGAATGTCTTCATTGTCATTGAAGTCCAGGGAAGGGGAGTTCACGGGAGCAATGATCTCTATCTTTTCTCCCATGATATTTGCAATGCCGAGGTCTTTTTCCACAGGACTCTCTGCTACTGCCTCCTCCTCTTCTGGTAGCACCCCATCAAACTGCAGCAAGGACAGAACATAATGAGGGCAAGACCAGCACCTAGAAACTGGTGGTTATTTCTGAAAACTATTTCCATCCGTGGGCCAATTTTCATACCTTTGAACATCTGGCATCAACATGACTGGAAATTAAATAATGGAGAGGTGGAAGCTTACCATACAGTATTTGGAAAACATATGGACACATTAGACCACTTCCTCTCAAAAATGTATATATACAGAATTCAAGCTTGGGACATAGGCAAGGCTTTTTGTTTGTTCAGACAAGCACACAAACAATAAAGGTTTTGTCCCAGACAAAAACACTGTACAAAACCAAACACTAGGTTGGTTTTCCAAACAGCTTTTTTAAATTTCCAAACAGCTTTTTAAAATTCCAAACAGATTTTTCCAAACAGCTAGGAAAATCTGAGTTCAAGTTATATTTCAACAAGGTCTGCTCTGCCACAGTACCATGAAGGTGCACACTGCTTCCTAGGGAATGACTGGAGCCAGAGGAGGAATTATAACCCCTTTATCTTCAGTGCTCCACTTCTTTTAATCTAAAACTGCACATGGGAAAATACCCTTGCTGCTGAGAATCCTAGTGCACTGACTTTTAGGTCAGGCATGTTTTACTTACTTTTCCTTTGACAAATGCCATGCCCTCAGACATTACTAACATGAGGACTGTGGTCAGCTGCCATGGAAGAGGAGCTGTAGGGCAGTCACCTTGTACATTCAAGCCCTGCCAGCGAAATCCCTGTGAGAAGAATTCCAGATGCCACTGCAGTGGAGGAAGGACACTTACCGAGGCTGGTGCTTCACTGCTTCCTGTAGATGTCAACGTGCTGGCAGTGACAGATTTCTTTGGCAGCTGAGGGCTAGCTTCTGGCTTGGCCTCCATGCTGCTCTTTGAGGAGCTGTCATTGACTTCATTCTCTTCCACAGGGATTTCTTCACAGTAGCTGAGACGCCACAGAGAACACACGTTTTTATGTTTACCCCTCTCAGTACAGCTACAGCTGGACACACAGAGCAAGTAAGAATATTTCTATGCGGTTTCCAGTCTGACCGGAATCAGAAATGGCTCAGTACAAGGGAGATCAAGCCCAAACTTTTCAAGTGTTTATACATAGACTGGCAAGCATCAGCACTTGTTGACCACGTAACATGCTGACTGGCCCAGTGAATGGGGCACTTGGGCATTTACAGAATCACTCATCTACTTCAGCAAGTAGAGAGGCAATCATTTCAGTTCTTACTGATTTCCATGAGGAAATGGTACGCTTTCAGCTTTTTAGCCCTTAATCCCTAAGGCCAAATATTTGCCCAGAACCCAAAATCTCTCACCGGGAACGAATTGCAGTTTGAGGTATGCCAATATATAAGGACTCTTGCTCTCCTGAGGCCATCTTTTCTTCATCACAAGCAGATTTCACTCCTCCTCACTCACCCCATTGTGTTGAAGTCATCATCAGGAGGCACATAATCTTCATCATCGCTGGTCAGACCTAGCTCGTTCCCATAACACTGGTGGACAAAGTGCCAGAGCTCCTTTGGACAGAGAGGCTAAAAGAGGGAGCAGAGCACAGGGTACATTTTCACCTGAGAAGACTAAAAGATAATGAATACGCCACACTTCACACTTACACTGGATCTCACCCTGAAAGTGTTAAAGATCTCACCCTCCCTGCAGCAGTTTTTCCTCAGTATGAGTCAAACCCCAAAACGCTGGCATTTTGATTGCCATCAGCCCATTATTTCTTTCTCAATCTGGAATTATGACTGTCAGGGATATTACATTTCTTGCCCTGAAAGCAGAAGCGAGAGATTCTGACACATCTTGTTGCTGGGAGGCGAGAACTTTTTGATTGACTCACTTCTTCTGAATTCCAGCAATGCCACAAGGTGGACTGAGTGTTACTGGGAGGCTGGTCAGCCCCACGGGCTGCAGACATGTGCTTATGTCTTAATACAGTTAGGCCAAGTTGGCACTGATTGCCCTGATCAAGTAGTACGAGGCCCTTTTGCCAAGTAAGCCTTTGCTGCCAGCTCAGGTCCTGCCCTAAAATCTGACTTTGTTATTTTTCCAGGTCACAAGCTCAGGTTACTGAAGACACTGCCAGGAAGCCAACAGGAGGCTACACCCAGAGTAGCACAAGAAATGAGATCTCCCATCACTACAGCGCTGCGTGTGTAATAGTGTAAGCAATAAATCTGTGTTTTCCTCTACGTGTGTTTTCTGCTGTCTCAATTTAATGTCTCCACTACCACACCAATCCCCAACACATTTTGAGTTTTTCTCCCTTCCACCCTTGTTTAAATGGTGGAAGATTACTACCTAAAGATTACACTTGCTGGGAAAATTATCTAAAACAGCAACAAAGAGGAACATATCCTGCTGCAGTTTAAAATCAAGAAGGGTTACTACTAGGAAAAGACTGTATTGTATCTCCAGCTAAAAAGAAGAAATGAATTATCAAGACCTTTCACAAAAGCCCAGCTCTTTACAATGCAGGTCCGTTGACTCCCACATGACTGCATTCTGGAGCCCTCAAGAAATGGGTCGGTGAACTCGTGATTTAAGTGTGTGCTGCACGGATGAAAGGAGATGGATTTTTACCCACGAGAAACTTATGATCAGTGACGAAGATTTCTTGGTAAGGAAGGAAAATAAACCTAGTGAACTTTGTTTTTTTTGCTGGCGTAAACTTCTTCCCATGGTTACTGTACGTGTTAAGGCAGGAAATTTTTAATCTAGCTCCCAAAACTAGCAGTCAAAAGGATGGAAAACACTCAGATGAGAAACTTTAATTCAGAAACATATCCAGCTGTTTTACCTTCTTCCTCCATACACTCTCTTTACTTCACATCTCAGCAGAAAAACCACACTAGGTTCTTTCTCCCTCCCTCCTGCCAGACGTGGTTCCTTCATTTGGCAAACGAGCTCTCTCAGTGTTTCCTGCCTTTATCACTCCAAATCTTAGTTCCTGTTTGCCATGACCTTGAAACCAAGGGCACTGAATTTTGTGATAAACTTCAAAGGGCCAGTTAAATTACAGCATCTGATAGCAACATGAGCTGCCCAATGCAATTTGATCCTTGTGCCTACTAAATACTACCCCAATTTCAGGACGGGGTGTTCTGGCACTTGACTACTTCAGTATCCCCGTATGGTATGAACTCAAGCCCTGAACATCTGCTGACAGCCCTGTACGATCAGTTCGTGAGTCTTATTCCTGGAGTGAGGCCAGAAATACTCACTGGACATTGGGACAGATACCCAGAACCAAATATAGGATATACGGGGTCTTTGACACAGCAAGTGCATATCCCTGCTTTATTTTAAAATCCAACCTACTGAGCCTTTACCCAATGCACCCTACAGCCACTATCACTCTTGTTTGGTTTTGGGATGTGCTGAACATGTGCTTCTCTCCTGCCCTATCTTGAACTCTACACTGCTGAAGAACAGACTTCCTAAGAACTTTGCCAGTGCAGTGAGCTATTTCTGTTGCGTTTTGAACTTCTTTCCTCTGGGCTGTTTCACTTGCATTACAGACCTGAAAAATCTCCTTCCTGATTGCTTCCACACCTCAGCAGAGGTAAAGAGACATCTACTGTGCATGCAAGATGTGTCTGCGGGTAGACAGAACTCCATGCAAAAAGAGAGATTTGCACCTGCAGCTTTGTATCTGTTCCACCTAAACACATAGTTACTACCCCTACATCTTTTTTTATGCATATACATTAGTCACAGGTATTGTGGTTCTGCATAAATCCACCACCTCCCTTTCATCCCCCCCTAACACTGAGATGCTGGTCTCTGTACCTTGTCAAGGAGAGCGTTCTGCCAGAGTCTGAACATCATCATGTACGTCCTGTCTCGAGCCCCGAAGGAAGTAAAAAAGTGCTGAATGGGAAGAGATGGAGAGAAAAATCAGTTCAGAAAAGGCCCATCAAGGGGATGAAGAGGCACAGCTGCTTGGATCATTTTCCAGAAACAGCACACAGAGAGACTGAGCAAGGCACACAGTGCTGCTGCTCAGCTCCTGGGCACAGACTGAAGTCCATGGAGACTTCATGGCGAGGCTGAGCGCCTCTCAACCCACAAAGCTGGTCTGAGCACAGAAACAGCTCAGTTAGCTGTGTGCTACTACATAACCCAGATCTTCTACTTCCTCCATGCCCACACACAAGCTACATGAGTTCCCGACTCAGCTCAAGCCCAAGGTCTGCAGAAGCTCTGCACCCAACCCGCTTCCATTAGTGCTTTCTCCCAGGCCCCACGTACCACAAGCAGTCAGTTTGGAAAACTCCCATGGAGGTGGTGTTAACACTCCCTTTCCCCTGACACCCACAAAGTGCAGGCTTCAAGGATGTACCTTTTCAGTGTCAGTGCAAACTTGGATGGCATTAGGAATGAGCCGTGCTGTTTTTTCCTTGGTCATCGAGCAGATATCCTTCAAGCGAACTGTCAGCTACAGTCAGAGCCATGCAGAGAGGGGAAGGCAGAAAAAGAAAGCAGGTAATGAGAGACACTGGTGAGAAAGACGATGGAAAGAGTGCTTTTAAAGTTGTCAGCAAATATACTGACGTAGAACACATGCTCCGTGTGCCAGTCGGAGAGCCTTACCAATGTCTCCCAGCGGAAGATGTTGCTGTAAAAGCAGATCCAGTTTTCAGAGAGGTAGAGGCGGCCCTGCAGGAGAATGTCTCTTTGTAGTGCACATGAGTAATCTGTGGGTGAACAACACATCGTAATTAAGGAGCATCAAGGTGAGAAGACAAGGCAGCATAAATGTGAGGATAAGCAGCAGCACCAAGAGAAGAAATTACCTGACACAATCCTGCAGAAAGGACTGTGAGCCAGGAGGAACTGGGCCACAGCCTTTAACCTGGGTTTTCCTTCTCTCCTTCTAGTTGCATCGCTCATTTCTCTCCCAATTTAAGCCTACTCAACAATTTCTAGTCCTCTGCTAGTCTGTGCATATTGCAGCAGTGTGAGACATGGTATGAGATCACCAGTTACATTAGATAAAAGAACAGATGCGATGCAGTGGGCAATCACTAATTAGCTGCAAGGCCAAAGCCTAGATGAATACAGGAAGAGTGATGAGTAGGTAGCATCAGGGGTATACAAAGGAGCTTGAAAAAGGAAAGCTCAGGGCCATGCACGTTGAGACAGGCAACCCTGACCAACTGAGGGAAGAGCTCAAACACTAATGGGTTTGGGGAGCACTGCGGAGGAAAACATACACCTCGAGTCAGGAGGAGACAAGGCTGTAGCTGATACTGGTCAGCTGTGCTCTCCCCGAAGTAAAACAAACGAAACCCATTAGAAACAGTGAGGAGGGAGACGGTCTGTGCACAAGAAAGAGACAGTGGGCTTGTTCCTTGGTGACAATCTCTTAGGAGAGGAAAAAGCTGCATGTATGTGCGCTGCATTTCCTCCCAAAACCATGGGAAGAGCACGGCACAAGAGGACAGTCCTTACCTACAATGAGACGCTCCGTGTCGGGTAGATGCTTGAAGAGTTTCCTGAAATCTTCATTCCGTTGTTTGTAGGTTGGACTCAACACCTGCAAATAACAGAGCGCCTGTTAAAGAGAGGGGCAGGCATGAGTAGAGAGAAACGGAGTGGGAAAGCAGGAACACCTAGGTAAGGAGAAGGGGGATCAGATGCACTTACAAAGCACGAGGCCAGGAGCTCCCATCACAGCAGGCACAGGTGCGAGGATCTGGGATTTAGTGCATTAAGTGAGAGGAAGAGGAGAACCTGACTTGGAAGAGTACGCACAGAGCAGAAGGCCTGTGCCTTTGTCTGCAGTGCAGAACTGCGTGGAAGCTGAGGGTGCAGAGAAAATCCCTTTTGCTGCGGTCACAGACTGTACGAGGTATGATGCACGCCCTGTCTGCAATTCCTCAGCTAGCTGCCACTCCTCAGCTCTCCAGGAACAGCATCGCAACCCCAGGCCATAAGTGCTTCAGTGTAGCTGCAGCCCTGCCGGGGGAGCTCGAACAATCACTGTCAGGTCAGGAATCACGCAGTCATGCCCTCTCTTCTCCCCATTTACCTGGCAGTCAGGGAACCCACAGCTACCTGCTGGTGTAGGGGGAACACCTCTGTGGGGCGCAGAAGAGGCTCGCACAGGGTCTTGACCGTGTTTTGTGTTTATTCTGCAGACACCTGGCCTCACGGAAGGCATCAAACAAAACCGTGCTGTTGGCTGGAGGGAGATCAGGAGCTGGCTTCTCTCTGCAGTTTACTAAACTTTAACGTGACTCTGTCCCAGGACCGACAGTTCTAGCCAAAGGCCACCTCCTGCATGCCACGCACGTGCTGACAGCCCCTCAGAATAGCCAAAACTTCAGAACTGACTGAAAGAGAGGCAGGTACAATTTCAGGAGGCCCGTGTCTCTCCTCTGATCTCTCCTGCTCTTTCTCCCACAAACGTAGGGAAGGCAGAGCAACCTGGGGGACAAGCTCTTCCCTCTGTATCTCACTTTCCTCTCAACAGCCCCTTCCTACCTCTAGCAGCTGCACAACACAACTCTCCCAATGCAGAACGGTGGGCAAACACCGCAGCCTCCCAGCAAGGGGTCCCCAAATGAACGTGACTACAGAAGGTAGTTTCTGGTTGAGAAACTGGGAGGGAGTGCTGAAGGGATAGGAGGAATGTGAAGGTTTTTAGCCTTACAGAACTGCCAAATGCTGTCAGAGAAAGGAAAGAAGCACCGACACCCCCACCCTTCTCCCCCAGAAGAAGCATTCCCTCTTCCACACATCGTTTCAATGAACTAATTAACTAGAAACAATAATTTTAACATCTTAGTACATCAGATATTTGTTTCAGACCTGTGGGCCCAAAGGAAGGTGTCTTGATTACGAATAAAATCTACAAAGCAGCAACTGACAGAAGCATCATTCCACTTACCAAACTTCTAGCCTGAATATCTGGAAAAAGCCTTGGCCAGAGACGGGCTCCAGTAAGAGCCTAAGCCCAATATTTTCTGGGACAAGCAGAGGATGGGAAAAGAGGGAGGAATAGAGATTATAATCAGCTCTGAGCTCTGGGTTTAACACATTACAGACCAGTTCTGTCTCCATGGGGAGCCCCACTCTGCTCCCTTCCCCACAGCCTGGGATGTTCTGACCCATCCAAAGCTTGCACTACAACAGACGCTTCTGCTTAGCACCAGAACTTCTGTTACAGTGAAAAACAGCTCAGTTTAGCAACACTCACAGCTAGAATTTCATCTGATCCACTGCTGACATACTCCTGGGGCAAGTCGACAAGCCCGTCCAGGTCCGAGAGCAGACTTGAGAGCTCCTGATGCAGCACAAGATCCCAGAGAGCCTCGCACTCCGGCAAGGGATCCATAGCGTCCCCTCGGTGCTCCCACAGCTCCCCGTGTTCCCAGGCAGACTGCTTTTCCTCTTCCTGCTGTCACTGCTTCTTGTTTAGATTCAAAGTCGAAAGAGATACAGCAGCTTGGCAGGAGTTCGTGTGCCTTCCCCTGCTTCCCCGCTCACGTTCAGGTCGTCTGCCCTAGCGGCCTCTGCAGCTCTGAGAGGGGACTCGCCCTGGGGAGGACTTTTTCCAAGTGGCTCATGAGGATAAGCGTGCTGGCAGGCAGTGTTTGCACTCTTCTGCTCCAGTCTCACCCAATTCTTGCTGCAGGTATCCTCTGGAAAAGGGCTGCAAAAGCACCAACAACCCGAGCGGTCTCAGGCAGGTTGTGCAAGGCGTCTGCGACTCCTGAGCCAGCCCCGATGGCCAGGACTGCGAGCGAGCACCCAGCACAGGTCTGATGGCCAGCACCCCACAGTAACAGGACACCAAACAGCTCAGAGCCTTCAGCTGCTGGTGTTTTCTCCCTGCTTCGAAAGCAGAAAAGCAGCGATTCTTATTCTTGTGCCTGCCTCAGGCTCTCTCCTCTTGTCCCTCTGCTCGGAAAGGCAGCTTTGGTCTTTGGGGAGGTTTCTCGTGGAAGGAGCAGGCGAGGGGATACCAAAGTGCCTCGCACATGCTTCCAGTTACTGTAGAGGGGAGCTCTGCCGGCCAATGCCCTGCAGTAACCCAGGCTCAGCCTCCAGCAGATGTTTCCTGTCGTGGAGAGCTGCTGGACACTGCAGTGGGGGCGGCGCGAGGGGAGCTGGGCTAAGGAGGGACCAGCCAAAAGAACAGAGCTGTGATGAATCAGCCCTGCGAGACCCACGGAGTTAAGAAATGTTAGAGCTCAGCTGCTCCTGCGCCCCCCCAAAAAAGCCTGCGGCTTTCTAGGTTCAGCCAGGTCACTTTGGAAAGGATGAGCAAGGGCTCCTGCAGGCTCCAGTAAACTCCCTGCAGGTCTCGGGAAGATTGCCTGGAGCACAGCTCCCTGCATCCCTCTGCCCTCCATCCCCACGCTCTCCATCTCTGCTCAAGTGTGGAAATGCAGAGGAAAAGCCCACGCCATGCCAGCTCTGCTCAGCCACGATGCTGAGCTGTGAGAACCAGACGCAGGCATACTGGTGAAAAATCCGAGTTCTTCCTAACAAACTGGGCTCGCAGATGTTTCCAACCACACAAAACCCTGCAAGGGCATGGCCACTGGGTGCAGGGAGGACCATCAAAATGCTCAGGTGCACCATGAAGGCATCTCTCCTCGCATCTGCCTGCACTCACCCAGCATCCCCAGGTGAAGGGAGAGCAAAGCAACTTCTGCAGCCCAGGAGGGACAAGGTATTAGCACTGCAGACAGCTGCGAGGCACCTGTGTTGTTTTACTGAATGGCCTTTCTCTCTGGAAACACCGCATGGGATTGCTTCCAAAAAAATCCCGCCAGGATGTTTCTCAGTCTCCGCAGCCACCCACCTCTCCCGGTGCAGATCTGAATGGCACGAGCGATCGGAAGACGAACCCGGAGGTGGTGACAGCAAACATTAACCCTACTGCAAACAGAGAGGGACGGGACAGGATGGCACTGCGACGGGCGGAGGCGAGTTTTCGGGGGGGAACGGGGAGAAGAGCGTGACCTTGCCAGGGCCACGACTCGCTGGTAATATGCTGAAAAATCCTCTGGGAGGAAATCTGAAGCAGCTGCTGCTGGGGGATGGGACAGGACAGGGAAGTCTGACTACACAAGGGCTGAGGAAGGTACAGTCTGGCACAGCACGCGGCACAGAACACAGGTAGATATAAGGAGGCAGGGAGAAAACCAGGAAGGGAAACCTTGACTGTTCTGCGTGACTGATGGACTTGCTCCTAAGCCTTTGTGGAGGACTTGCATTGCCTCTGGACAGAGCAGAAGTAATGGAAAGAGCAGGATACGTGCCTTGCTTGTGTGGGAGAGTTTAGACCCCACTGACAGCAGGACTGCTGTGCTGATTGATGCCAGCAAAGCAACTGGCCACCTGTCCCACGGCGTCTCTTCCAAATCTGGTCGGGTCACTGGGGACTTCCTTCCCTTTTTTTTTTTTTTTTTTTTCACCTTTCTTTTAAAAATGAATTAACACCAGAGGGAGAAGCTTCAAAGCAATCACTGGCAGTTTGTGGTAGAGTGAATTTGAATTCATCATCCCATGAGCATGCACCAGAAGTTCATCTCTAATTTAGTGCCGCTCCACCACAGCAGGCGTGCCAGGCCAGTAATCAATACGCTTGACATCATGGAAACCCCGTGGGGAACTGCCTGTGAAAAATACCTGAAAGCCAAGGAGTTACACTGCTCCAGGAACAGCTTGACAAAATGGTTACTGGCACTGGAAAGCTGAGAGCACTGATTCAGAGTAAGGCAGCTCATTCAGCACCTCACTATGTCATCCTCAGGCCTGGGTTTCTGCAATAAACCCCGTTATAAGACTGCTGGTGCTGAGTCAGACTCAGGCTGCCACCCCTTGGGAAGACGTTTCTGGTGTTTTCCCTAAAACAGTGCTTCATTTCCCTCTCTTTGTCTTAATCCAGGTTATTTTACTCATTCCAACAGCTGAGATTCCCCCTTCGCTCTGGCATCTATGAGGTCTCCAAGAGGGTGCTGCAAGGAAAGAAGACAGCACACCAAGACATCAAAGGCTGATTTCTGATGGTGCTCAGTCTCGTGATCATTTGATGTTGTTAAGAAGCTGCAAGTGCTGCTTAAAAAGCTTCACAAAGAAAGGCCTTCAGCCACCTCCTATTGCACTTTTGCTGCAGCTCTCCCAGGGCCAGGGCTCTCTCCTTTACGCAGCTACCTACCAAAACACAAATCTGACCAGATTTATTTTTGAGACATTCAGCTCTGCAAGCTGAAATTGCGTAGAGAGTTCGAAAGTTACAGGGGATACAGACAGTGCTCAGCTCCAGAAAGGGCATTTCCACAGGAGACCACATCCCTCCTGTGTGCTCCAAAAGGCTTTCTGCCTCCTTTCTGCCTTCTCTGGCTCTGATTCTCCTATGGCTTGGAAATTATGCTACTGCTTTCCTCTACGAAAAAAAGCTTCTGTGCAGTATTACTGTATTCACTGAGCATGTTCTCCCACTCACTTTGCAAACGGTGACATACAGCACGCAGCTCCAGCACTACAGCCAGGGAGAGCCTGCAGATCTGTGGACAGAGGGAAATACTCCGAGCAGTGATACCTGAAGCCGACTGTTTGGGTTTGTGCACGGCTCAGCTGAGGCCTTCCCTGGATCCACTGCTGGGAAAGCTGCCCTGTGTGCACAGCCTTTGTTTGCAGAACTGCAGGTGCAGGGCTTCTGTTGGGGCTTTGACCCACTCAGCGCAATCCTCAGTGCAGACTTTGCTCTCCCAAAGACAAGAGGACAGAACTGTCCTGCTGCTGAACTTTTCGGACTAACCAGGACAGTAAAGGTCTTTGGTAGTATTTAAGAACACCTGAAAGAGGCAATTACTGTCTTCTCACTGTAATATTTTTTTCCACTAACCATTCTGGAACTGTACTGGACATGGGTGAAGAGGTGGAGGCTCGGGTCAGGTAGAGGGGAAAGCTGTAAGAAGAAAAAAAAATGAAGCACAGTTCCAAAAGAGAAGGCAGGTGAAAGGACTGCAAGCAGATAAACACAAAGGAAAGGAGTACAGAGGAGGGCTGACCTTGGGACCTAAATATTAAACTGAAAACCTCATGGACAGACACAAATCTCACATCTTCCCCAGCGTCAACTGCTTTTGCTCTAATTTTTCGAAAGCCTCTTACTCTCTTTCCTGGGAGCATGCTCTGCAGATTCCCCTGAGGCATGGCAGCTCCCAGCACAGCAGTAACCCTTGCTAGAGAGCGGCAGCTAGAAATGCCGTGGAAAATCAGAGATGCACAGCCTGATTTAGGAACAGTCAGGGAAGCAGAAGGATCACCAGTCCAGCTGACAGAGAAGCAGGCAGAAAAAAATCCTGGCAGATTTGCTGGGCTCAGGGCCTCAGCTGGCGCTGACCTCAGGACGTGAAACCCAGGAGCTCCTCCATGCTCAAACATGAGGCCCTTCACCCAGAGCCCAGCAAGAAAGAGAAGGACAAAAGAGATGCTTTTTCTTCTTTGGCACCAAAATGTCTCCAATTTGTCTCTCATTTTATTGACTTCTGCTGGGTGAGGAATTCCTTCTACCAACTTGTGGAGTTCTTGTATCCCACAGAGCCAGTGCAACCTCATCCTTCACGCCACCAGGGGAGTGATACACAAATTCCCCACCTCTAAGCACATCAGGTCTTCAAAATAAGTAATTTAGTAAACAAAATTAAAGAGAAAACTTGCTTATGAGCTCTATTCCTTTAAAAATAATAAACCAATTAACAGTAATTCAACATGCAGACACACAACTCCAATGCAGACACACTCAAACTGCGTCCTGATGGATGAGCACAGATGAGTGGCTGAAACCAGAGCTGACCAACAAACTGGGGTTTAATCCGTAAGAAAAGCACTTCTTCAAGCCAGAGGCTCCCTGTCTGCTATTCCTCACCAAAGGCACGAGAAACACCTCAGGAGACTTTTCCTTTCCACTGCTAGTGAACCCAGCCAGCCCAGTGATGTTTGCTTTTCCACCGTAAGGGCACAAACACAAAGCAAACCCTGTAAGGTTGAGCATATTTATTCTGGTGTTGTTTTCTAACGCTCACTGTGCACCCGATCATCTTGCACTCTTCTTCTGGAGAGCCAAGAAGAGAACGCACCAAGACCATGAAAGGGCAGGACTCTTGCCAAATCAAGCCATGACCTTGGTTCACTCCCTTTCTCCCACTTGTCAGTCTGGTAGGGATGCCAATCCTAAAAAGCACTGCTAGGATCAAGAGGAGAACACACAAGGGCGGAGAAGTCGGTGACATCGGAAGGAAAAAGTAGAGAATAAGGAATCAAGGGGGAGAGAAGGAAGGCTTCCAACTGCCAAAGAGGGATATAGGGCTACAAGGACAAAAAGACCAGTTAAAAGCAGCAAAAACTGAAGTTATTTTAGAAAACTGGCATTCTGACCACTGATGCTTTGGGAAGCTTTGAGGGCCATGTGCTCTTTGAGGCAACGACTATATTTTTGTTTTGTGTTGCACAGTGCCTGGCACCCAGGGCTGCCAACGAGACACAAAGAACAATTGTGGAGCGTTTGCTGCACGCATAGAGAAGTTTATGTAAAATGATAGTGAGGGGAAATGGGTAAAATGAAACTGCAAGGCCTCGTGAAGGGGGAGCCTCCACAGATTCATTTCTACAGCTGCTCACAGTGGGGTAAGAAATAAAGGAGTCAGCATGGTCCAAGCGCCAGAAAAATCCTGCCTGAAGGAGCTGGCAAAAAAAAGAGAAAGTCGATCAAGGAGACACATTAGCAAATTTTTGATGTTAATACTAGCAATTGGATTGAATGCCTTCCTGCAGTTTGCAGCCCATCCGTGTTTCCACATTGCTGCTTTTATCTGGCCAGACCGTCTCTACTAACTAGAACGTGTTCTGTTTTGCTTTCTAAAGGAAAATAATTGTGGGGGGAAACCACAAAAAATGCAGCCAGTGCTTACTCTCCGGATGTACTGTCTCTCATGCTGAAAATATATGGAGGAAAAACAAGAGAACAGAAAGATAAGATAGAGAGGATACAAACACACGAGACCCACAGAAGCAGACCACAGAGAAGCACCATGCAGCAGGGAATGGATCTTGGCAGCTACCGCCTCCATCAGCTCTTGTGCGATAGCAGAAGTCACCTTCAGCCACGGCCACGGACTTCACGCGCCGGTTTGGGGTGCCTACGTGCCCAAAGTGCCTCACCCCACGGTTCCTCAAACTGCCACTGCTCCACCACCTCGGGCCACCGTGGGTTATGCTTCATTCCTCGTGTCACTGCCTCCCCGCCTCCATCTGCGTCTGAGATCTTCTCCTGTCCTTGCTGCTAGCTAGCTCTCGATCTGATTATCCCACTTGGCTCTTCCCCCACAACAAAGGGAGCTCTGCACTGATGTCCCTGCCAAGAGGACAGCTGTTTTCTGTTCCCACTTCTCTCCCCCTCCTCTCCAGCCTTATTAAATTCCCTTCTCTTTTTGAGGGAGGCCTGTCTGTTTCCTACCGAGAGCACAAAGGATTCATACATCAACCCAGCTGCATTTAACACCTTAAGTAATCATCGAAGGGGATTTCACCTCAGAGACGCAGCAGGCTTACCAGGGTTAGTAATTACTAAGCAGAGAAAGGTGCAAAAAAGTGAGAAAAATGCACCTCCTCCTTCAACGGTAACAAAGAAAGAGCGTGCTCTGTCACAGCCCCTCTCTCACATCTCTGTGCTATCCTTCAGAGCCATGATCCCAGCCAAACCCGAGGCAGTGTTACCGCAGAGAGCCACGGATCTGCAGCACCTGATACGGGTTCCCCAGCCAGCACATCCAGCCAGAGCTCCGGCAGGCTGCCACGGCTGCACAGCATGCTACCTACACCAGCCACGGCTTCTGAGACAAGGCAGAGAGAGTGAAACGTCCCCGTGCTGGTTATGTACAGCAAATAAGTGTGCCTCTCACGCCTCTGCCAAATCTGAGCACGCCGTATCTGATAAAATCACTGGTTCTTATGCCTGGCGCTCGCTGCAGGAAGGTCGGACCCGCTGCTGAACGTGGAAAGGCTGCTGCATTTGGCTACAAAGCCACCGTGCTGCTCGTATCTGCTTCAAAGCGCTTCGGGGTGGGGTTCGACCATGCAAAGGTGGCACCGATTGTGGAAAGTCGCAAACTGCCAGCTTTGTGCCTAACCACTGCCCCTCGTGCTTGCGGAACAAAAATAAGATGAAGGCAGAAGCAGGCGATGGTTTGCGTTTCTGTGAGATCAACAGAAAATAATTCCTCTCTCGCCCCACACCACCCTGAGAGATGCAAAGGGTTTGCATGGTGGCAGCTGTTTCACATCACATCAAGACCAACTCTGCCAGGAAACTGGAAGGTACAGGATGGAGAGATCATCAGAAGAGCGACTGCACAGACAAAGCTTTTGCTCCCTACCGCTGGCACCCTTTCCCTCAGGATGTCAGTCCTCCTTTGCCAGTTCTGAGCCATTTCCAGCTCCTCTTTTGGGAAATGGCCAGTATGCCCCACTGCCACTGCAAAGCCCCTTTGCACCTTCCCCCCCCAGGCACCCAGCCCATTTTCACCCAGGGACAAGAGAAACTGGAGTACTTACATTATACCAACTCTGGCTTTTCTGTAAGGACAAAATAAAAGAGAAGCATTAGTTAGCACAGAGATCTTAGGATCAAAAAGAAAGACGGATAGAGAAACTAGGTCCAATCTGGTTTGCATAATTAGCGAAGTGAAAGTGAGGTTAAACAGAAGATTTCAATGGATTTCACAGTGCAGCCCAACAGTTATTCCCAGTCACAGAAACAAAGAACAAATCCAGGAGCATGAGTCTATAATAGGAAACAGTTCAGGCTAATGTGTGCATGTCCACATGCACGCACACACACACAAACTCACGCTGCAATCATTTTGCAGAGCAGCAGCGCCCGCTAGCAGCAGAGGAGCTAACCATCAGCAGTGCCAGCCGGTTCTTTTAGAGGCTTTATTCTTCCACGGCTGCTGGCTAGGGCGTAAAATCACCGATTTGAATGCACCCTCTGCAAATGAGCCCTCGAAGAACTATCAGAAGGCAGAGACACAATTTTACTCACAACAGCCACCAGGCAGAACTTTATTTTAAATTTTAAATGGGAGACGCGTACAAAGACAGAAAAATTGCCGAAGAAAATCGCTAGAAAAGCTGAACGGAAAAAAAAAGACTGTTGCATAATTTCAGCGCACAGTGCTTTGCATCCTCTGCACATGTAATTTTTTGCCCTTATTATGGCATTTCAGACGGTTTGAGGGCAGGCCACATGTCACACTGGAGCGTATGAAAAAGCTCGCTCAGCTTGGAAAGTCGCACTTGGCAATTTTCAGCTGGAGGTGAGATTTATCAGCACAGAGGGAGGAAGAAATAGGCTTCACACTCCCACTCCAGCGAGGCTGGCTTTCCAGTGTCAGGACACAGAGCAGAGCTGACAGAAATTACAGGCATCCCCCATTTTAGGGTGGATTAACCTCAGAGCAACGAGGCTTGGAGGTGCCGTAGCCTTTCACCATTAACGGTGGTCGGTGGCAGAGCTAGTGGTCAGGCTCTTTGTGTGTCAGCAGCCACGCAGCTGTGCCTGTCCCCCTCTTGTGACCAGCAGCATGTCTGCGTTACACCTGCGGGAGTTCAGTTACACAGACAAAGACAGAAGCCAAGTTTTACTGCATTTCTTTCCTTGAAGTCATCTTGCTTCTGACCTTGGAGGGAGTATTTCTCACAGCTTTATACCCCATCCCGTCTAGAACATGAAGGAAAACGAACTTATTTCTCTGACTTATGGCAGTCTTTGAAGGTTTCAGGCAGAGAGCTAAGTTCATATTCACAGAAGCACAGAAATCAGCTGCACCGGGATAGCCCACAAGAGGACCAACGACATTCGGGATGTCTTACTATAGGAAAGTAAGCACAAAGTGTTAATGAGATCAGATTGGACCAGAGATACCTACGAAGGCATGGTTTGCCTACACTGTTCTCTTCTTAAACCTCCCTGCTTTCAGTTTCCTGTGCTCCCTAGGTCCTGTTCCATACAGAATTCCCTGCCATCTAGATCCCACTCACAGAGCCAACGTTTCCAAAGGGCCCCTTGCCACCTTGGGCATTTCTGCCACTTGGGACAGCATCCTGTTCACTGCACTGGTCTCTAACAAAAAACCCAGAGTAACATGGTATATGCCACAGTACAGACCACAAAAGGTTGATGTTAAAAAGAGCAACAGCCCCAAAGCCTTTCCCCAGTCCCTAGGAAAAGAATATGAACTGAAGAACTGAATACACACCTGGCTCATTGACCAACCAGATGGATTTTCTTACTGGCTACACATTTCCATATTTCACCATAGGCTCCATTCATAAATGGTTCAGCTGAATTCATCCTTCTCTCCCAGCAGGACATGGAAAAAGGTCTTATGCAATTCAGGCTACACTAAAAAAATGAGGGGAATTAAGCTTTGTCCTCGTACAAACCACCTTGTCCTCAGAAGCACAGGATCTAAGATGGAGTGATTTTCCTGCAGATTTGTTTTGCCATCTGCCTGCCTTAATGAGAAAAATGCATAACTCTAAAATTCCTGGGGAAAAAAAATCCATAATCAAACTAAAATTGGCATATACAAAACACCACTGTTACTGAGCCTTTTAAATCAGGGTGCACATGCGGTGTCAGCACACTGCAACAGGAGTTCATTCCCCTTGCTTACATTAATTGCAGTAACTCCTTTTGCCCTGCACAGTTGAATTTCCCCAAGTGTGACTTCTCTGTGGCTTTCTTCCCCTTTCACACAGTCATACGGATAACCCAACCCTCATCTTTTGCTTCCACCAAGTATTCTAAACATGAGGAGGTTCCCTCTTCCTAATCCCTATGCTTTGCAGGTAGAACATACTAGAGAGAGTCCAAAGAGGGGCAAAACTAAGCCTCAGTGTAAATCTGACTCCTTAAATCTGCCTTCAATTTTTTCTTTTTTTAAATCACTGAGCATCAGAATATAGAGGGATGCAAACTGTGAAAATCAAGAGATAGTATAACAGAGGGGAAAAAGAAAGAAAAACGAAAAACATTCTTACTTTGAGCAGGTTAAGTCTGTCATACTGGAAAAAGAAACCATAAACATTAGAACTGAAAAGATAAAATAAATGAGCAACAGAGGAAGGGAGTCGCACACAGAAGTGGAAAAGATGTCACTGGCTGTCAGAGATGATGCCATAGGAGCAGGTACCAGAGTTCATAGCTACATGGTGGCTGTAACCAGGAAGAACTTAGGAGAATTTGAGGAAGGAAAAAAATGGGGGCTTTTTTCTGAGCCTCTAATTAATGTAGTGTTGCCTCTGAATCTTCGCAGGTTAACGACCCTACTTTTGCATGTATTTCTTTAGAAGATTACAGCCTTACAGTGCAGATGGGAAGCAGCGGATCACGAATATGAAGTTCAGCCTGCTAGCTTGATGCCAACAGAAGTTTCCACCTTTTAGCATTCCTGGGAGCAGGATCACAACTCACTCCTACGTACTGCTGCTTCCGGAGGAACAGAAACATTTTGCCAAGTGAATGACTTGCCATGGACTCTAGAGACATCACTTAATCCTTTTTGGAACAAAGGAAACAGAGGCACAGACCAGAGTGAGGGCACAGAGCTCTGAACAAATTCCAGAGCCCTTTCTCCTGATCTATGTCCGTCTAGGCTCTATGCTTATTCAGCTGACTTCTGAACCCTCACAGCCCAGTAACTCAAAGAAATCCATGAAATTTATTCCCAAATTCTGAACTTTAGTCCAAAATGACCAGAACTTCATGAGCTACTACCTAAAAGGGGATTATACCACCCAGCAGGAGGGGTAAATGAGAAGACAGCCAAATTCTTCTCATAATTGCACGCTGGAAGGACAAGGTGCAACAACCATAAGCTGCAGTAAGGGAAATTCTACTTGGATAGAAGGAAAAAGCCTGTTCACAACAAGAGTGATTAAGCACTGGAGCAGGGGCCCAGAAAGGTTGTGCAGTCTCCACGTGGGGAGGTTTTCAAAATGCAACTAAAGCAGATTCTGAGCAGCCTGATGTTACCAAATCAGCCCCACTTTGAACACGAGGTTGGACTAGAGAGCTTCAGAGATCCCTCCTGACCTAAACTGCTCAATCTTCAGGGCTTACATCAAAATTCCTGTTTTCCTCTAACCTGATATTTTCTCCTCAGCACTCATTATTAGGTACAGATAGTGGGATGAGTCTTGAAAGACATGCGACTGAGAGCAAATAACTTTGATCCTTGGGCAAGAGCGAAAGAGGTTAAAAAACATGTATTTCACTGTTAACTGCAAACAAAACTCTTTTATTCCCTGAGTGCAGAAAGCTGTTCCAGGAGCAGCAGTGCTTGCCAGTAAAAGCTTAAGGCTGACACAGGCCTTTAGGTGGTTTGGGCCATGCCACGCTGGTGGATTGCATGGAAAAGCTCCAAAGATTCCCTACAGATGTAATCCAGTGCTTAAAAACTCCTGGTGAAGCACTCCCTCTGATGGCAACACTGCAGCATGACAATTAACGCAACAGACAAAAAGAGGGCAAGGGACTTCAAGCAGAACTGTCAGCAATTGTATAAACACAGCATCAAACTCATGGGCTCAAGCTGTTTCGTTTCATCAGCGAGACAGGTTGGAAAATCAGACTTTTTCTTCTTGCAGAAGAGGGGTGGGGAGAGGAGAAGAGGCTGAGAAAGGAGATTTTAAGTTTTTACCCTTCAGTTCTTTGTTCCTAGCCTTTCCCCGTCTTGAACAGGTATCTTCATCTGCCTGGGGAGAATCAGAGGATTCAGGGGATGCCAGACTCTCTTGTTCCAGGAAGGGCAGCTTTGTGGAGCTCAGGATGAGATTCACCCTTCAGCTGGGGAAGGGGTTTGGGGCAGGAGGCTCTGACGCAGGCTGGCAGAGGTCAAGACCAGGATCCCCCTCTCTGCATCGTGCATCCATCCTTGCACTGAACCCACCTCAGGTCCACCTCCCTTTTGTTTCTCTAACTGCAGTGAAGTATTTGTCCTCTTCGAAAAGCAAGGGGCTGGCTGCAAGCACATCCCAGTACCCGTACAAATGTGCTTTGCATGCACATCGCTCCGTGCCAATGCTCTTCCCACCTCTCCTGACAAATCTCTCCACAGCTTGGCAAGGCACCTCCAGCCTGCCACAGCCCAACCCTGACCTGCCCTACCCACACACCTCTCCCTACTCACCAGAAGCCTTTCGGGACTCTCTGCTACTCCAGCCCTGCGTTTTCCATAGAAGTTGTTTCACACCTCACCTTTAGTCCCACAGTTCTCATTTGTAGCATCCAAGCTACAGTTACCATGCAAGAGACGAGCTGTCTAAAGAAAGATACGGAGAAGTTTCCAGCAGACACCAGCAATCATGCAAGATAGGGCTGGCTACACGGGGCGTTCTGACAAAGGGAACTGTAAGCCAGTACTGTCAACTTCGCTGCTAACTAGCAACTTGCCTGGAATTAAATCCAAGGCATCAACTGGGGAAAAGCCAAGACATTGATTTAGTAGATCGAGAAGCCATCCAAGCCATTCTGGTTTCAACTTGCATACACACGTGGAAATGCCAGCAGCCTGGCACTCTGTCCAATAAGCATCCCATCAGCGTTTCTGGTTTTTACACTCTTCTGAGGGTAGCACAGAGATTTGAGATCACATCTCAAATGAGCTTATCTCCAATCCAAGCACCCACAGAGGGATTTTCTACTATTACCTTTCAGAGCGAGCCCATGAATTCTCACAATTCATTTGGGACAGGCCTGTTCTAACAGGTTTAAGCTGGGTTCATTTGAAATCACTGATCTTTAATATTTACATCACACAGAAAAAACATGTAAGGTCAGTAAACTGAGATCAATGGCCTCTCTAGTCTTCATCATAAAAAAGCAGGCAAGAAGTTACGGAGATCGACTCCCATTTCTAAAAGGCATAAAGAAGAGATGAAAGAGAAGGGATTATGTTCAGCCCACCAGAGCCAGCAGATCTCTCCCTGTAAAGACAGCAGCTATTTTTAAGGGAGAAAGAAAGCAAATCTTAAAATGAAGCCTAAAATTCTTTGGAAGTAATTGAAGGAGTGTAAGGAACAGGCCACTTTTCGCACCATGTGAGCAAATATTAAGGAGATCCCAGTGATATAAGTGAAACCAGCTTCTCAGCTACAGGCATCGGGGTGAGCTCTTGCTGACATTCTCGCAGCCGCACCAGGAGAATGCCTTACTGGAGTCACTGCTCAGTACCACGGGGAGGGTTTCTGCGTGATGAGACAATTCTACAGTGGGGCACAGGAGAGAAAAAAGAAGGCTTACTTTGGAGAGGCGCTTGTGTGACTTAATCGGAGAGAAAGCATGCAGGAATGAAAAGAGAGAAATTAAGGAAAGAAGAAAAATTACCTCACAAATCAAGAGAAGGAAAACCCACAAACCCATCAGAAAGCATTGTATCCCCCCCCTTCCTTGTTAAAAGCACCGTGAATTACTAACAGTTCCTCTGTTGGCAAGAATCACCCTCCCATGGCCTTGAATCACAGCACATCATGGGCCAGGGCAATGCAACTCATCTCTGCAACACCCCTTACCAAGGACGTGATTCTCCTGATGGACCCCATCTACAAACACAGCGTGCCCTGCATCCTGCCTGCCTCCCAAGCGCATGGCTTTCTTTTGGGGACAGACTGCCCAAGCGCACAAGGCTGACAGCACCATCATGAGGCTGCCATCCACCATCCTGGGCGGTGGTTGTAGCTTACTGTGTGCACAGGAAGAAGTCTGACCTCAAGGCAACCTCGGAACTGACTGGTCTCAAATGAATCATCTTGAAAAAAACCCTTTGCCCCCTTTTGAGCACACATACTCCTCCCTTAGTGGCTAGGGAGTCCTGTTTTCTCTGCTGACAGTGAACACAAAGAGGAGTGAATGAAGACTTTTTGTGCAATCCAGCAATAAATTGGGTAAAAGATCCCACAACTCATTTCACACAAGCCATCAGAGTTATGCTGTTCTGCCACCTGTGACACTGGGAAGTCGTTCAGGCTGAAATACTTCATAAAGCTGGAAAAATGCAAGTGCTCCTGACAGTAATCTTATAATACACCACTGACATCAGGGTTATAGTCAAAGGTTATGCTTGGTTCCCAAGGCACTAGCATGCTTTACCAGGTCCCACTGCTCACAGAAAATCAAGGGTCCCCAAACTTGAAGCCCTATTCCTCTGAGTATGGCAAACAAAGGCTGATACTGGTTCTAAGACCATCTGTCAAAAGACCTAATACTTCCCTAGGGAAAGTAGCATCTACCCAGCCAAGATTTCCATGGAGTTTGTCAGACAGTTGTAATACTGCACCCGTAAAAGTCAACGTGCAGAGGACTGGCAAACTGATTTTGTGCAATTTAAACCTCATCTCAACACGGGGCTTAGACAGGACTGGAGAAACGCATGGACCCTTCGCAGGCTGTCTGCACAGAGGAGCCTTTATTTCTTTCATGACCCTCCACGATCCAGTTGATAAAAAGTGATTGCAACAGCTGATTTTCAAGGTCTTGCTTAAAATCACAGAGCCTTCCAAGGAAATAGGGCTTTGATTGCAAAAAGATTAGCCTACCAAAGCCATTACGGAGCTGCTGTACAAGCCATCAGCAATTCCTGGACTGAGTTCACTGAAAGGATGATGGAGGTGCACTGAAGTCTGACCTACCCAAACAGCTCCCAGTTAGGAGAATTTTCAGAATTATGATGGGGGAAGAAGGAGAAGAGTTAGCCAGAAGTAAAAAAGGCACTGAACAAAACCAGTGTACCACACTTGAGTTTAAAGCAGCGGACAAATGTACACCTTGACCAAAGTTATTTGCTCATTCCTCACCTTGGAGTTCTTGGCCCCACTGCGGCCTGACTGAGAGGAACAGCTCCGCTGTACACCCTGCTCTGGCGTGGAAGGGGATTTGTCTGATGAGTGGTCTGAGCCTTTTTCCACCATGGTGTCTCCTTGGGAGTCCTGCGGTGTTGGGGACCGAGAGCGTTTGCGCAGGATGGGGGAGCAGGCAGGCGTGCTGCGGTTTGAGTTACTGGCAGTACTGCAAAAAGAAAGAAAGAGGACAAGTGTAAACCTTCAGCTCAAAGAGAAAGCAACTGCACCCTCCCTTGAGGTGAAGCATTACCCACAGATTTCTCCAGTAACACAAAAGATAAATCTGGCTTCCTGAAGCAATGCACCCCATGCCACACTTGTTACTGATCTCCCCAGTAAAATCAGGCAGTAGACAGGCATCATTTACTGGTGGCAGAGAGAACTTCAGCTGCCTGTCAGTGTCTTTTTCCACCCACCTTTCAATTGATCTGCCCACAGAGAAATTAATGAGAAAATGAACTCATTCTCTCCTGTAAGGCTCTGAGATGTTAAAATGATGATCTGAGCTTAGAAAACCTACACTTGTGCTCAAGAACAAGGGAGATGTCAGTGTATTTGCGACATAGTCCCACCCCATCCCTCCTTTACTTTTTATATCAGCAACTGTGCCCCTTCTTAACAGCATGCGCAGAAACGGGATCTTATCTTTTAGGAAACACTCCATTAAAGGTCATCAAAACCCTTGGGGCATTGGGAGGGGAGGCATATGGGACACCAGTCACAGACAATGCAGTCATGATTTCCTGTACCAAATCATCCTTTCCCACACCAGTTAGAGCTGGGGATGAAAATGTTTTGCCGTAACTTAAAAGCTTTCATGGTTTGAAAAAGAAAAAAGTTAAAAGAAGAAAGAAAAAAAAATACCCCTTTCATATCAGGGCAAAAGCAAGACCTTTCAGAGATTTACAGAAATCACAAAACATTTAGGGGAATGGAGTTTCTCTTCCCTAACCTTCAGCCAATGCCCTAACACCTAAACCAGAAAGCCAGTTACATACGTATTTATATAGAACAGAGCAGCAATCTCAGAATAGGACAGGAAAAATCAGATTTCCCAACTGTTCCTTCTCCTTGATACCTTTTTTCCTGCCAGACTCCTCAAAATACCACATGCTGCATCCATTTTATACTGGAAATGTTACAGTGCCTGCAACAGTTTAGGTATATCATGAAGTGAAATTACCAGGGTCTTTTTGGCTTATTAAAACGTACAAAAGTATCGGGTTTCTTCCCAGACTTTCAGCTGTTCCAGTTAAAATGTGTATTTCGCTCTTTCTGCTCTCCTGCTGCTACTTTTCCTGGCTAGATTCAAGATGCACAGTTTTTAACAACCCAGCATAGTGGCATCTACATATACCAAGCACTATCACCAACCATGTGCACGTGGTGCTGTGCATATGGCACTAAATCCTGCAGCTCATTAAAAGTACTTCCACGGATGAAAATGATTTTGAATTGCCATTCCTATGGTTATTAAGAACTCCAGATCCTGAGGCTGCATTGCTCCTGTTCGTGGTGTGTAATTGCTTATCTGGTGTCACAGCAAATTTCCTAAATCTTGCCCCAGCACGCGACTCAACATAAACTGATTTGAGAGGTCCCCAGAATTACAAGACAGAATCTGAACCGATCGTTCCTGAGTCACATGTCACTGCACTAGATTTGCTTGAGCAGACATACCCGTTTCTTACTACAGCTCAACAAAACTTGAGTTTTTCAAGCACAACCTCCTTCTTGTTTTCAGTTTGTGGGTGTTCACACACACAAGTTTCACTCTGAGTTTCAGCTTCAGCCAAGCTGAAGCTTCAAAGGCCAAGTCAAATTCAGTCACAGCCCTTCTTGCCTGTAGGTTACAATTATGAAAGTGCAATGAGTTTTGCCTGTTACTAAAGCACAAATAACTAGTTCAAAACGTGGTACAGAAGCACCACGTGCGTGTGAAATTCAAGATGCAAGCCACTAAAAAGTTTGGTACTCTCACCCAAGTTGTGATCACATGAGAAATGAGACAGATTTTGCCTTTCGTGGGTTGCAATAAATACGTTAATACTTGCTTCAGTATGCACTCACACACAGATGTGGAAAATATAGTCTTGGTTCTCTCACTCTGAGCACGACGCATGCTTCAGAGCCACCTTCAGCTCAGGTCCTGCTAGGCGCTGTGCAGCCATGGAGGCCAACTCAAGCTGATCACTCAAGGACTCGCAAAGCTCCTCCAGTGGGTTTTTCAGGCCTGGCTGAGTAACCCCTGGCGCTGCAGCTTCACAGGAGCAGCATCAGCACTGAGTAGCTTAAAGCTGGCACGTACATGCTTGCCCAGGCTCAGCTCGCACTGCCACAGCCGTACGCTTCGGTGCCAGCTCTGCCAAGCGGAATCTCTCAGAGCAGACTCTGGCTTTGAGTTTGTTTTCCACTCACTTAGCATCTCCGGCCCACTTAAAAAAACTAACTCCATCCGTATAAATCGTGTTAGGTACACGGGGATCATCACCTTTGCAGTGACAGGAACAGAAGAGAGCTTTAAGGGTGCCTTCTTCGGCTGTCTCCTAAGTCACCAGCCAAGAGCTGATCAAACACGGGAGGTCCAAATCCTCCTCCTCCTATCTGATGGCCGGACAATGTGGAGTGTTTTGCACAGCAAGGGCTCTGCCGGTGCGTGCACGATGAAGGACAGGAGGAGGCCATGAGAGATGAAGGACGGGAGGAGGCCACTCAGGCAGCCGCTGCCGTGGTGAGAGCGGGCCCAGCAGCAGCCCCCCGTGGCTCCGTCCCGCTCGCCCCTGGCCCTGAGCACCTCAAAACTCGCCCTGCTCCCGCTGCGTCCCGAAGCTTGAACCCGACCCAAGGAACAGCCATGACGAACGCTTGCTGCAGTTGCCATAGTGACCGGGGCCTGCAATTGAACCAGGAATCAACGCCTGAAATGCCAAAATGGCTTGACCCACTTCGAAAAAAAAAAATAAAATAATGGTAATAAATAATGCTTTACAGAACTAATTGACCAGAGAGCATTCAGGGCCCCCCATACCCCTGCAGCGCAGCCTTTAGTAATGCACCGCATCGAGGCAGGCACAGAGCACAAACAAGCCCAGCCGAGAGGCGGCCCCAGCTCCTAGGGGGAACCCCCGCGTGGAGCATGTGAAGCAAAGCACCTCGGCACAGCACCTCTCATGCCTTGGGGCTGTACCATGTCTCACAGAAACGCCTCATCTGACAGCTAAAAATAACATGTGCAACAGCAGCGTGGCTAGGAAGGGGCCAAGGCCTTCAGCTACATGGAGGATGAGCAGCCCTGAACTGAGACCGAAGTTTGTCCACCCTACGAGGCCCTCCAAAATGACCACACCACCATCCCTGGGCTCAGGACACGTACCTTGCAGTAGGTCTTTCCCAAGCCACTCGTGCAGCAAGGCTCAGCCCCAGCCTCCGCACACCAGGGCTCGCAGCCGGGGCCGTGCTGTGCCGCAGCAGCTCGGGGCTCTCCTCGCAGGTAGCGATCAGCTCAGCTTAAGACACTGAGCAAATCCATTTCAATCTCACAGCTGCAGAACGTGAATTTAGCCAGTCGTAATCGCTGTGTTACCAAGTGCACCAAAGGATTTGTAAGGAGGGCAGCTCATCTGAACAAGTGCAGTCCCAGCCACGCAGCGCTCCCTGTTTCTTTGTGATCACCAGCTTCCCAGAAGGCAGAAACAGATCCGCGACACCATTTCCTGCAGCATTATTTGTAACCCCCTCAGACTTCCTGAAGAAAGTCCTGATCTGGAAAGCTAATCGCAGCCTCCAAGATTGCCACAGCTCTCCAAAGAACTCGCTTCGGCAGAGCACAGCTGCTGAAGGTGCCCACACCTCCCTGCACCACAGCACCCACCCGGCTGTAAGCTCTTCGAGGCCCAGAACTGTTACCAACAGCACTGCAAATGCTGGGCTTAATTCTGCAAAGTGCTGAGCACTGCGTCCACGCACCAGCAGAGAACTTAAGCGTATATTTAGCTCTGCGTATAGACCCACTGAAACCGAGGGTGCGAACAAAGCCAAGCCTGTGCTTTCCCACTTTCCTAAGCAAGACCGAAGGATATCCTCCCGCATAAAGCAGAAGTGTACTGGTGGAGCCTGGAAAAGGGCAGGAAAAGCACAAGGTCAAAAAGGCACCTCAAGCCTGCCTGGAGTACAAAAGGAGTTAATTCTCCTCAGAAAGAGCTAGTAAGGGGGTTAATTAGACGCCTACAAAGATACTTCTCTGTGATACAGTCTGACATCACTGGAAAAAGATGAGGTTCAGAAACTCATTATGCAGTCTACCAAACAGCAAGCAGATGGTAACAACTTTTGGTCATCACCAACCTACAGGCGCTTCAAATTGATAATCTACGAATGAAAACCCCCATATATCCCTGGGCTTGCCATTGCTCTATTGCCAAGCCATAACAAAAGGCTATACTTACATTACATCTCCCAATTAAAAAAAAAAAAAGATAAAGCATTAAAGCATTAAATGAAAAACCAATGACAACTGTAGGGCTGTACAGACAGTGAGCAGTGTTTCGTGCCAATTGCTTTGAAAACAATAGCAGGAGTATACTTTCTGCATGCTTTTTAATTTTAAACCAGAAGTCCATCCTTGTCAAAGCATTACTCTGATTATTTTGAAGTTTCACAGAATGGTTTCTTCCTCCTATGACATTCAATAGCACGCTTACATATTCATGAGATAAAATTAACACAATTATTGTGCTTCAGGGGATTAGCAAATCACTGCAAGTGTTAGGAAGGAATTTGACTTCTGCACATATGCAGCACCGCAAGGTTGGCCAAATGTATTATTAACAATGTCATTGTCTTTCTCCGAATCATCTGATACTGGTTACCACTGGAGACAGCCTAGCGATTCTGATGGACAAATGCTCTCATACCGTACGGAAACTCCCACTGTGCTGTTTGAAACAATCCCTCCACCGCTCCCTTCCTACTTTGAATTGTTACAAAAATTCCAAGAAAAAAAATTGAAACATGTTTTCTAAATAGAACACGACAGATCTTAATCATACTGTCCAATAATACAAGCGGCATATGTTAGAGAGGATCATTAATCTGCAGAGAAACAAAAATGTGTTATAAATTATATTCTAAACCTCTTCATCACCCACAAATTAATATGGTTACATT